AAATTCCTTAACACCATATTTCGTTTAAAAGTAATTCCACAATTATGACTCTGTATTAGTGACGTCACACTAGTACGATTAGGGGGGGGGCGACTGCGTAATAATGTGTCACGCGGCTATGAGGGAATCCATTCCCCAAATTCCGTGACGTCATATTTCGTACTTATATATGAGCTAGAATAACGATGCGTAAATTTGCAATTGTGACGTCACACTAGGGGCGGGGGAAGGGGGGATTATCACACTCAAAGGGGAAGAGATAGAACTACCGTGGCGTAATAAATGTTCAAAGTCAAAATAGGTCGACAGCGCATCTTGTTCAGATGTTATATGACTGTGGTAGCCAGCTTGTCTGCCCTTATGTCTGATAAAAAAGTAAAATATGGCGTCGTGCTTATAAAAATCCGACAACAGATAAACATCGACGTCTTTTCATATTCTTATTTATGGACGAAGCAGTAAATAGGAATAAGTGTTCTGTGTCTGAAATATCTTTTATGGTATTGTCTGTAGTTTACGCGAGCATTACACATTTAAATAAAATAATTTCAACGGTTTAAAACGTGAAATATATTTTTTACCTTATTTTTTTAATTTCACCATCGTTATCCCCCCGTTAAAAATGAGTTATCTTATATACTTCGCGTTTAAAACTGTTAAAACTGTTTTATTTAAATCTTTCATCATATTATGAGGTTTACGTGTGCCGTTAAAAATGAGTTTACTTATATACTTCGCGTTTTAAACCGCTAAAACTGTTTCGTTTAAATCTTTTATGTTATTATGAGGGTTTACTTATGTAAATGATGCATTTGTATGTATCCTTATAATCATAGAATCTAAATTAAAGCCGAGTACACACTACAGACCGCGTATCGTAACTTTTGTTAGTAACAAAGTGTGTAAGTCTCTACCCTACACTACATCACCGTGGATGGTACTAATCGACTTCTTCTTCTTCTGTCGCTAACCCATGATCTTGTAAAAACCTTGCCTATAAGACAATTTCAATCTAGCGAGCATAGCTGTTTAAAATGCCTGTTTCCCCCCGTGGGGCATGGGGCGAACACATTTCGGCTAGCATGTAGCTGATCAGACTCGATCTGAATCTTATTCAAGTAGTGACAATGGCTTATTTTTTACTTTTGCTTATTATGCACGGAATTTATTTATTTGGATCAAAACTAGAAATTGTAATTAGACACTAGAAACACCTTCCCGTTGTCAGATCGATCTGGACATTAGTACACACATTATTTTAGATGACAATACAACATAATGAAATCAATAACATTGTAAATCCAAGATGGCCGCCAATACAAAATGGCGGTTTACATATTTTTCCTTAACCGCCTCTAATCAAATGCAATTGCTAGTAAAACACGATGATTATTTCAAAAATTATTTTTTTCTAATTTTCAGTGCACAAAAAATAAAACCGTTTAACTTAAAAGCTTTTTTACCGATATTTCACCAATCGTTACACAAACGGCTCGTTAGTGAGCACCCGGCGTTTTGGACGCGGGCTAAAGGTATTGTCTAGACTGGTTGTAGCTCATCTTCTTATTGAATACTTAGAAAAATTATATTCAAATGTTTGTTTGCTGAATTTACGAAATCCACTTACCATATTTATATCTTCTTCTATGTATATATGCGAGTAGTAAGTACTTAATAAATAAGACACTTTTGACGGTTACAAACGCGAAAAATAGTTACTACATTACAACCGTGGTTACATAGGTTTGAATACCGAGTAAGTTCGGTATTTCCTAAAATAGGTTTAAAGTGTAGAACTTTTATCTCAAGCCGCCAGTAAAACCCACCAGCTTGCGTTGCAGCAGCATGGTAGGTCTAAATGTCTTGCTCTTTTAAAAGAGAATGGATATGCCCACCCGTGGGCGATTAGTAAAATGAAATGAAATAGTTGTAACCGCGTATAAAACGTGAAATATATTCCGCGTTTTAAACCGGCAAAAGTAAGTTTGTTTTTTGGACACGTGTAAGCTTTTTCTTCTGGTGTTATAAAAATGTAACTACATAGAGAACGTAGTAGAACAAAGCTTTATTGCATCTTATCAAAGGCAATATAACAGATAACGTTATCACTGTTATCTCTTATCAGCGAATGCATCCTTACATACACGTGTCTTCGCCCTGTTTACAAAACAAAATAGCTTGTTGTAGAACATTTTTTTGTCCTATCATTAATTTACTTTTCGCACCGTATGCGATGAAAGACGACATTTTATGGCTAATTTTTTTACACCTCCCGTTGCTTTTAATAGTAATTTCTAAAGAATTCTATCGTAATCTCTATAGTAATACTCTAACGAATATATAGTCTATTTTACTCAATGATAATGTAGCTGTCTAATGAAAAAATAATTATTAAAATCGGTCCAGTACTTTTTGACTTTATCCGTTACATACAAAAATACAAATCTTTCTTCTTTATAATATTAGTGGAGATAGCTGTTACCCACGATATTCGTATGCCGACGTAGCGTCCCGTCGTTCGGGTCGTTCTTGCAAGGTAATCTTAAAAGATAGACATATAGATGGGACTTTTTTAGATCATTTAAAGGGGAATCATTCTTTAATACACAATTTTTAGGTATCCTGAACTGTTTTCGTAGGTAATCTGAAACCTGCAGGGATGAAAAATTTCCCCCCGTTTGGTTCACATTTCTCGCTGTATCTTCGCTTCTATTAGTCACATCGTAATATGTTATAGCCTATATATAACCTTCCTCGATAAATGCTCTAACCAACACAAAAATAATTTTTCAATTCGAACCCGTACTTCCTGAGATGAGCACGTTCAAACAAACAAACTCTTCAGCGTTATATATTAGTATAGATATAGATATAAGGAATAACTGATTGATATTTCCTGTTTGTCATATAAAGTGCTATTTTAACATATATATGTCGCTACTAACATGCATTTAGTAGCAAATATGTAATCTGATCTTTACAACAAGTGTTTATATAACAAAACTAGAACACTTTAACGGTTTAAAACACAATATATTTTTAGTTAAACATGTTTAAAAATTATTTTGTAACTAAATATTGTAGAGTCGTCATCTTAAACGGGATCCAAACCTATAACATTTAGTTTAATGTGCGACAGGTCCTGGGTTCGGATCGCGAGGAATCAAATGATTATTGAAGGCAGGGCACGAGCAAACTGTAAAGAACTGGCCACTGTATCGGGCACAGAAATATGTTCGCCCCATGCCCCACGGGACTTCATTGTGCGCTTCCACTCAGTCGCACAGCTGTCCTTGATCCTGGCAGTAGGTATTTATTGACGCGTTGCCAACTGAATTTAAAATGGACGTCAAGTCTTCGAGAATGGAAAATTTAATTCATTATTAAACAGAACACGTCTGACTATTCAAATTCATACTAATATTATAAAGCTGAAGAGTTTGTTTGCTTGTTCACCCCAATTTCGGGAACTACTGGTTCGAAATGAAATTCATTTTGTGTTGGTTAGATCATTTACCGAACAAAGCTTTAGGTTAAAACCTAAACCCAATATCTAAACGATAAAAATGCTTGGGGTGTGAAGGAACCCGCTCTTCCAAGGAACAATATGTACTGCACTAAAAGTAAATAAATAATGTGAAATGCAACTTGGCGATAAAAGGAGTGACGGCGAGTTTCTTGACAGTTCTTCTCGTTCGTTCTACGCCCTTGATTCAAGAACTGGCAGTAAATGTAAAGTTTTTAGTTTTAAACTAGTGTGACGCTCATAAGTGTGCATTTAATCTATACTATAACGCTGCGACCAATAGGAACGTAAAAGCAGTGGAAAATGGTGGAATAATGGGTAAAACTGTACTGTCTATAGTTTACGCGAGTAATGCATACCGGCGAACGCGAAGACACCGTTAGTCATTTTCAAATAAGTTTAACTAATATATCGCGTCTTAAACGTTGAAGTGTTTTATTTAAATGGGTGAAACTATTCATATTTGAGATTCGTCGCGTGCGCTGCGACAACGGTTTAAAAAACCATACCTATATGAAAAAAAGATCTAAAAAAAATTTCCGCGATACTATATGTCTCAAGATTAAATTTAGTCTTTATGGTGCATTATTACCAATTATTTGATATACTTTGCCGGATCAGCCTGTTGACAATAAACCTTATAAAAAAACTTACCTCGAAAGGGGGTCATTGTTCGTCCATCGCCGGCGCAGGCGCAATGTCCTTGCCGGTCTGGTGCCTTGTCACCTGAATCTGTCACTTGTTACTGTTGCTAAGTATTCTACTGTGTACTTATAAATCAATCCATCTATTTTGATCATTTCATTATACACATGATACTACTGAGGAAATAAACAATGTAAAATTCAAAATCAACATACACGTGTAACAAAATGTAAACCCCCCTCCCCCGCCCCCTTTTATGTTGTGGATCTGGAATGTAATTTCACTTTTGCAAATGCATTTACAATATATCTCCAAAGTTCACGTACCCCCCTGTCATAACGACTACCAAAAATCCAATGCGTCGGGTCGTGCTTAAGAGAAAAATTTACTTTAATAATAAATAAATTAACTTGTATTTTTCCCGTTTATAACTAGTAAGAAATGACAGAAAACAAGCTTTAGTATTGTCTATTAGTTTACGTTAATAGTACACATTTAAATAAAACACTTTTAACAGTTTAAAACCATTACTTAGTAGCCGTGGTCACTGGGAAAACGTCGGGCACTAGTCAAAATAAATACAATTCGAATAATTTAATCCACACCAAAGAAGACATAGACGAAAATTAGACAATGTTTAATATTATCCCATACATATAATTATATGAATATACATCGCGTTTTAAACCGTCAAAATAGTTTTTTTTAAACAAGACAAGCCTATATACCTCCCATATCGCCCTCCCAAATCTTGGTCTGTTCCCCATTCATTACTTCCCCCGTGTGTAGTGGAATTATCCCAGGAACCGAGGGCTCGGAAGCTATTGAAATGAGATCCGGCGCAAGTGTCCTTGCAGACGAGCGTCTCCAACGGAAGGAACCCGTTCCCAACACTCGATGTTGGAGATTAGATCGTAATCTGAAACGAGTTGTACTGTGTCAATAGTGGATAGGATGTCTGAAACTTAGTACTGTCTGTTGTTTACGCAAGTACACATTAAAAAACGGTTTAAAACACGAAATGTATTAGTTGACTTTTTCACAAATTGTTGGCCCTTATTTAAAATGCAACAGTATTATATATAAAACCCTTTTAACGGTTAAAAACGCGAAATAAACAAATTCACTTATTTTAATATTTTTTAACTACGGCCTGACGTATCGGTAGCTCAACAGCAACCGTGGTCACGGGGATAAACACAAATGTCCAAATCTGACAACACTTATCGGAATAACCTAACCTATTCGCTTTGTTTAACCAATTCGTGTTTTAAATCGTTAACAATGATTTATTTAAAAGTGTACTCTGACGTTTGATTAACGTGAAAAACGGAATTGTGTCGGTGATCCCCACTGGGCTGTAACAAGTTTTAAACAAAACACGTAACGGTTTAAAACGCGAATTGTATTATGTAAACTTATTTACAAGTTGTTTTAACTGCGGTTCGAAGTTTCGGATGTGTTGTGGTAGTCGTGGTCACGTTAAAGTAAAAACTGCTGCACTAGCGCCATCTGTTCTGTCGTAGTTGATGTTTGGCGAAATGGGTCCCTGTAGAACTGACTAACGCGTTTGTTAGTATGCTGTTTTGGGATCTAGTATCGTTTCAATATGGGATTCCAGGTGTTTGATAAATCAACTAACGTTTGTAGAGGAACCCTCTCTAACAAGAAAAAATATGAATAGTTGTGCACTTAAGGTACGTGAAGACTGTAAAATAAAACTTGGCGATAAAAGGAGTGACGGCGAGTTTATTGCCAGTTCTTCTCGATCATTCTGCGCCCGTGATTTGAGAGCTGGTAGTAAATGATGAATGATTTTTGACTTTGACAACATTTATTACATTAGTCACACAGCAGTTTTTTTATACAAATAAAATAATATGTTAAAATAAAATGTAATAAACAATTATAGGTGAACATAACATGCTAAAATAATAAAATTACTAAAACTAAGTTTCAACCAAGTTTGGAATTAGGAATTAAAGTAGCACAAATCATAATTACCAAAATTTACTTGTTAGGTATTTGTGGTTCATCTGAAAACATGTCCATCATGTGACTGTTCTGGAGTATTGTATATGTATTGGAGAATGCGATCCATATACCGATCTTCGACGATATTCTTCTTCTTTCTTCTTCTTCTACAAAAGGTGCGATCGGCACTCGGGGCTGTTTACATTGAACTCATGTTAAATTTTGAAATCATGTGGTCTCCAGACAACTGAGCAATTTTTCAGAACTCTTTATAAACATTTTGAAAACGTTATATATGTTTTATTTCATAAAGTGTTTGTTCCAGAGGGTGGCGGGTGCAAGGAGGCTGGTAGAGGCGCGGTGGGCGGTGGCGCGGGGCAGGTGACCGACGGTTTGCCCGGCTCATGTGGGCGGCGAGCGCGTGCTGCTCGCGCCAGGCAGGTCGTACCACCTCGGGGAGAATGAACGGGCTCTACCAAAGCCCTTATTCTATTTGTTTTTTTCACTTTATTGCACATCATGACTGTCTCAAGTCATTGGTAGTGCAACCCTGTGGATGCCGGTTCAAATCCTGCCCGAGTCGTAAATTTATTCAATTTATAATCCATTTTTAAAAATCTTGATCCGGCTACCACAGAGATCGGGGCTGATGCTTTACTGAGTTACCGTGTCGCCTCTCGCGTCTTTGTCTCATTCTTCATGGTTACGTCTCCTCAGCTCCTGCGCAATCATTTTAATTGTTTTGTCTGGCGCTAAAGTCTGAGATAATACTTGTCTAAAATTCAACGATCAAGTTTTGGTAGTAGGCCTATTCAACTATATTATTGTACGTAAACATACGTCAAAATTTAACACGCTGTCATCCATTTTAGTCTAAACATCATCGAAAATTATCTATTTAAAGGGCAGTTGGATAAGAATGCTACAAAGATTACATAATTGAAATAAAACTATTTTAACGGTTTAAAACACGAAATACTACTATAATTAACTTATTTACAATATATGTTACCTACGGCCTGAGTCGGTCGTGGTCTCGGGCGATATCAGACACAAACGTCCGTCGTCGTAAGGGACCCAATCACTCCATTCGTTTTGTCTAATGCGTGTTTTAAACCGTTTAAAGTGTTCATTTTAAACTGTATTCGATTAAACTACAGACAATACTTATATATTATAGTAGATACGTTTAATAATAATTTTAATAAAAGTATATAATGATTTTCAATCGATGCTTGATGGTGTAAAGGTAGCAACGTACGGCTAACAATCAAAGGTTGTGGGGTTCGACCGCCGGATCCAATATGTATCTAATCAATTTATATTTTTTCTGAAACACGTTATATTTCGTCTGGAAATGCACATATTAAATGGTTGGTAGGAATATCGAGATTCCGTCTGGGTTACAAACCACCGTCCAAAGAGCTACGCGTTATTTTAACTACGGCTCGACGTTCCCCCGTGACCACGGCTGCTGCAAAGTGTCCGAAACGTCGGCCCGTATTAAAATAATTTCCAAATAAGTTTCACTAATACACATCGCGTTTTAAACCGTTAAGGTGTTTTATTTAAATGTGTACTATTCGCGTAAACTACAGACAGAGTTTGTACACGTGTTGTGTTGTAATGCATTGGTTGCTAAGCGGTTTTAATCAATGTCAATATATGGACCAATGATTCAATCGGTCCAATTAGATGCAAGCTGTAACGCAATGACTCTCCAGCTCAGAAGCTGATAATTATTTGAAGAGATGTCTAAGCTATTAGATAGGTTGGTCATCTATAAGCTGAAGTTTCTTTAAACGCGAAAATTTCAGGAACTACAGCTTCGAATTGAAAATTTGTGTTGTGGTGATCTTTGTTAGTTAGAACATTTATCTAGCAAGGCTTTAGGCTATAAAGATGAGTTTAGCTGTGCCAGCGACTTCGTTCGCTTAGAAAATATTGGGCGTCCAAATTCGTTTTTACCCTCGACGTCGGTCACATCCCTTCCCGTCGTTCTTGCAAATTAACGTTCAAATATAGACATATAGCGTTGCGGACTTTTTTAAATAATTTAAAGAGTAACCAATCCTTCATTCATATTTTTGGGTATTTTCAATCATGTTAGCAGCGAACGCCTTGCAAACCCATAATTATTGATAGTCTCCCCGTGACCACGGCTGCTGCAAAGCATCCGAAACGTCGGGCCGAAGTTAAAAATCATTTTCAAATAAGTTTAACTAATATATCGCGTTTTAAACCGTTAAAGTGTTTTATTTAAATAGTTTCCAGTTTTTTTCACATTTCTCGCTTTATCTTCGCTTGTATTAGTCACAGGGCGATGTTTTAGCCTATAGCCTATCCTTCCTCGATAAATGTTCTAACCAACACAATAATATTTGTTCAATTCGAACGTAGTTCCCGAGATTAGCGCGTTCAAACAAACTCTTCAGCTTTATATATTAATATAGATTATTTGACCTAGGGAGGGTTGTTTCAAACTATCTGTTAATTTAATTACGCTATATATAAGTTACCGCTATTTATCACACAATTTTTTTTAGAATGTATCTTGACACACTCAGAGGGTGTTTGCAAAATTTCATTAAAATCGACCTAGTAGTTTAGACATATTATTTCTTTATCGGATAAAAAATCATTAGTTTGTTACTACACTAGAATGAACAATAATTGATAACCGTGATCAATTGGTATTAAACAACTTTTTCACAAAGAATTGTCTGTACACATTCAAACAAAACACTTTTTTACGGTTTGAACGCGAGATATATTAGTTGAACTTCGTGGACACGGCTGTAGCAAAGTATCTGATACGACCCGCCGTAAATCATTTGTAAATGAATTTAACAAATATATTTCGCGTTTTAAACCGTTAATGTTTTAAAATGTGTACTACTCGCGTAATCAACAATGTATCGTTAAAGTACGATTGGAACAACTGGCCCTTACGTACATTTTCATTCACTTTTCCATTATGCTTCGGCTACATTAGCGGGCGAAGATTCGTATCGTGTTCGGGCATTAAGGCGGGCGATGCATCGTGCCGGATTGTGTTATTCAGTTTGTCGTGCGGCCGAGCTCCTGAACTTAATCGATTTCTTAATTTTATTGAGATGGGCTCTATAGCAAGCCATCAATGCATCTTTTTTCTTCTTCATTTCTTCTACTGTGGTAGGCCGACTGATTTTTAATTCGAATGCACGCATCATGTTTATCTTTTCGCATCTCCACGCCATAATGTAAAAATAAATGCACGTCCGTCTTGCTTCAAAGTCTGGACGACACTGAATTGACATAGATGTACCCTAAGGGAATATTGGCGCGACAAATCCCTTTGATTCGCGCCGGTTTACCGACAGCTCCACGATACTTCGATACATCGTCTTCGCTCGAATACAACGCGATGGACCCGGCCATATTCATTGCGTTAATACGAATATTCGCCATAGCCCGCTAATGTAGCCGAAGCATTAGACATCCTTCGATTTTAGTTCTCTAAATGTTTAGATTAAGAAATGTTTGATTAATTTCTCTCTTTTGAATTTATTTTCATCGCATGAGTGCTTACTTGGAGCCCCACGTGTACTATTTACATCTAACCGCGGTCGGCGTTCAGTTCCCAGTTAGGTTAAGTTAACTGAGTCTCCTACAAGTAAATAATTGTTTGACTTTATTGGCTGTTTAAATTAAACAAATATGATCGCGTGAGTTGGGTTTTAAATTGACGATTGAACCTTGACGTTTCAGCGAGTGGTACATTAGATAATTATTTTTGACGGATTAAATCGCGGAGTATATTAACCTACTTTTCAATTTTATACAGTAGAGACGGTCGCGGAACTTGATGTTAGCACTTAAAAGTGTATTGTTTTTGGATGAAACTAACAATTACGGTTCTTTATTTTAGTGTAAATAATTTTTTTTTTTAGGTAAAGTACAGTTAATTATTAAAAATTTACGAATAAAAATTAATTTACAAATTGACCGCCTCTGTACCTAAATTAAGCGTGTTGCGTAACGTTTAAGCGCAAGAGGTCGTGGGTTCGAATCCCGAGTTAACAATAAATTATTTCGGTCGGGCAGGGTACAGAAGTCTGATAAAACCCCATCCCGGGAATCGGGGTTTCATCGTAGTGCCACTCACTGTAACTGTATAGGACCCTGTATAAATACAGGACGTTCTAGGCTTCTAGACAGCCAATGAATAGATACCCAGCAACGTCGACCGCGGTTAGGCATAGCACTTGGGGCCGGCGCTGACTGGTGGTGTGTTGGTAGCTAGCAGGCACTCATGCGTGACGTGGTGACTAACCGTGGCGGGGTGGCAGGCGACGGGGGGAGGGTGGCGCGGACGCCTGTCAAGACCTTCCAGGCTTATCTGCCGCCGGCGCACCGCACCTACAGTTGCATCCACTGCCGCGCGCACCTGGCCAGCCATGACGAGCTTATATCCAAGGTGAGCATGGGGGGAGAGGGGGGATCTTAGGGGGTGAGCCATGGTCAGTGGGGGGATCCTGATCAGCAATTAACAGTAAATCACGATTAAGTTACATAAGCTGGTTGGTCTAGTAACAGCAATGATAATCAGTGGATCGTGGGTTCGATGCCCATTGGGTCCGACATGTTAATGGATAGAAAGGATATTGCAGAAACGGGCAGTGTAGTTTAATCCTGAAGATATTATATGGCTGAGGTATTTCACCTTCCATCAAGCGAATCTTAACGGTTTAAAACGCGATATATTGTCTCCCCGTGACCACGGCTGCTGCAAAGCATCCGTACGTCGGGCCGAAGTTAAAAATCATTTCCAAATGAGTTTAACTAATATATCGCGTTTTAGTCCGTTAAAGTGTTTCATTTAAATGTGTACTACTCGCGTATAGACAGTATCTATAAAAATCTTTGTTTTATGAAAATTACAAATATGCGTAATAAACTTAGGAGACGAGAACGCTGAAAAACATGTTTCAGTATAAATTTTCCGACAAATGTTATATTTTTTTTTTTTTCTGTTTTTCAGTCGTTTCAAGGCAGCCAGGGACGTGCATACCTATTCAATTCTGTGTAAGTATTCACAATAAGTAGCTAATCAGTAGTTTTTACAAAAGTTTAACACCCGGGTTTCGAATTCACGACCAACAGCTAAATTTGCTGTTTCAGGTGATCATTGCTTTAATCAACACATACACGTGCAATTTTGACCTTAACTTTTAAGTAGTTAGGTTCAATGTCTCATGCTATCTAGATCTATTTAGATCTGTATAAATCTATATTAATATTATAAAAAGTGTTTGTATGAACGCGCTAATCTCTGGAAGTACTGGTTCGAATTATAACAATTATATAAAAGAATTATCGGTAGACTTGAGACTCGAGTGTTGTAGACGATTCTATCTTTAAGCAAGTCCATTTCAATCCCCTTTCACTTTCACTATTAGATATTAATCCATAAATACAAAACACTTTTAACGGTTTAAAACGCAACATGAAATAGTTATTTTAAATTCAACGACGCCCCGACACTTTTTTTTCAGCAGTCGTGTCCCTAATGTCAAAACTACTAGCGCCATCTGTTGAGTTATGTAAAAATCACTTCGTTTAGTTATTATTCAGTGTTAAACAGTTAAAAGTGTTTTATTTAAATGTGTACCGCTTGCGTAAACTTCAGACGATATTTTTTCTAGCGAATTCATTTTCACTCCACATATCCAACAGAAATATGTTCGCCTCATGGCTCTTTGGGGAAAATGGGTTTTCACTAAGTAGATTACTTGTTTTTCTAAGTTTATTTGCGTAAGAACCACCCACGCGAAACTTCTATTTTTGCTTACACCGGTTGAGGGCGGTGACTCGCTAAAACAATATCTATACTAATATGTAAAGCTGAAGAGTTTGTTTGTTTGTATGAACACGCTAGTCTCGGGAACTACGGGTTCGAATTTAAAAAATCTTTAAGTGTTGGTTTGAGTATTTATCGAGGAAGGCTATAGGCTATAAAACATCGTCCTGTGACTAATAGGAGGAGGAGAAACAGCGAGAAATGTTGAAAGAGTTGGGACAATTATTGACCATTCTGGGTTTCCGAGGCGTACTCTGCAAAAATTGTTCAAGACACCCAAAAAATATGTACGAGAGAATGATTCCTATTTAAATGATCTGAAGAAAGTCCGCGACGCTATATGTCTATCTTTTAAGTTTATCTTCCAAGAACGGCGGGAAGGGACGCGACTGATGCTGTGTGATTATACTCGCGGACGAAGTCGCTGACACAGCTAGTATTTCTATTCACATATACCTATTGAAATTTTTGTCATGCTCATTGGTTTAATGGTAGTAATGTGTATCAACGAGTCGTGGGTTCGATCCCCACCGAGTCCACCACTCTTTATACACATTTATAAATTAAACTTGTTGGATTTTGGAAATCTAGATATTAAATAGGTGGTAGAAGTGTCAAAAAGCATCGTCCGCAGATGAAAATACCTCAACGTTGAGAAGTTTAATCGCGTTTCGCTTTCAGTCTGTGGATTTCCGAATGTCCAAAGCCAAAATAGAGCAACAGCGCATCATGTTTAGATGTTATATGGCTGTATTTCACCGTTATCCCCATTTCACCATTTAATAAAAAAACTCATACGAGCCAAGAACGAAATTAACAATAATCTTAAACTAGACACTAGACTTTTTAAAATGTAAAATGTATGAATCAGTTTTATACTATTATAATCTGCGTTTTAAACCGTTAAAGTGTCATGTTTTATGAAACATGACAATCATCTTTAATATGTTTTTATAATATTATTTATTTATATAGTTAACTACGTATTATATTTTTTTATTTGCAAATGTTTTTCAATCAAAACGATACGAAAGTCGCGCGAACTGTCGCCGGTCGCGTCGTCGTTCGCCGCGATCTGCCTAATCGGGATGGGTTGAAGGTTCTCCTTTGTCCAAGAAATAACTTCGTTTAGTATTTGAGTCATCAACAGCTGTCTGTGTGCTGCTTGTTGCACCTGCCAAGATTACTCATATAAAACTACGGACATTCTTTCTGTAGCTTTATTGTTACTATTGTTGCTAGCTGATCCGACAAACGTCTTGTTTGCAGGACTAATATTATGTTGATACAACTCTAACAAAGAAATGCTAATAATGCATTATTTCGAACAAATTGATTACATTTAAATAAAAGTTTAAACGCGAAATATACATATATTATAACCTATTTGAAAATCATTTTAAATATTAATTTTACGTTCGTCACGAGGAGACCGCGGCTGCTGCATAGCGTGCGTAGTTAAAATAATTTTCTTATAAGTTAAACTAATATAATTCGCGTTTTAAACCGTTAAAGTGTTCTATTATAATGTGTAGTGCTCGTCTACTCGCGAAAACTACATACAGTATTTAAATTTGATTATCATAAAAAGGTTCTAAGCGAGTTAATCTTAAAATATAGACATTCGCGGACGTTATTAAAATCATTTAAAGAGGAATCATTATTTCATACACATTTGTTGGTTTCTTAAACCGTAGCGCAACGGAAGCCATCAAAGATGAACTTTGACCATAGTGTACTTTTGACAAAAGCGTACTTTTCGTAAATTTTGTATTGGCAGAATAATCGCAAAATTGCGATGTCAAGCGCAACAAAGAAAACGTGTGACAATAGTGAAAATAAATTAACTAATATATTTAAACCGTTTTTTGTTGCAATTCCAGTGTGAACGTTGGTTGCGGACCGGCAGAGGAGCGAGTGCTCCTGACCGGTCTACACGCCGTCGCAGACATTTACTGCGAATGCTGCAAAACCATGCTCGGATGGAAATATGTGAGTACTGCAATACGATCAGCGAAACGGACGCAGATGTGTGTCTTTATGCCCTACGTAGGGGAAACTGGGGCTCAGCTTTACTATACATTCATTTGATTTTAACACTGAAAATTTCGATTAATAGATCGTAGAATACAAGAATAATCCTAAAATTTCAACTTGCAGAAATTTCTAGTTCTTTGAACATTGAAAATTTGAGTGGGGGGCCGCCCCCCTCGTCTTTTTAATTGTTCTTGTCATGTAGGTAGATCATAAACATTTGCAAAAAAGTCAGTCACTCTCAAACATAACAGTCTAACCTAATGTAACCCACGCTTTAATTTTTCGATTGGTGTTTGTTTGTAAGGCTCTGCCCCTCGAGCCCGCCTTGTCATACTGCTTCTGAAGTAAATAAGTATTCACTAAATTGGAATTCACCCTCATAAGAGTCACTCAAAGTATAACGACCGAGAAGATAGGTTCATTCAAAAAAACAGAACGAGAAACGTATGATTTTTTTTTATATTTTCTTTACAGGAGCACGCGTTTGAATCGAGTCAAAAATACAAGGAGGGAAAGTTCATAATCGAACTGGCCCACATGGTGAAAGAGAACGGGTGGGACTAGGGGCCCGGACATGCCCCGGCCACCACTCCAACCCTCGTGATGACGTACCGGGCGAGTTAACTCGCCCCCCCGCGAGGCTCCATCACCAGCGTCACAAATTATTTTTATCACAATCAAATTATTCATGGGACAACGGTGGTGATGGATCGTCGTGTGATTCGATCCTGCGTACAGTGGTGCGCTTGCGCAAGCGTCGGACCAAGTTAACAAATAAGAATCGAGTCGGACTGTCGCTTATAGGATACCGTACCATTTTTCAAGTGCGTACAGGTCAAAAATCAATTTTAAAAATGATATGACACCATGTCAGGACTTGAACCGGTATCCACAGTATTCCGTGCAATTCCTCTCTGAATTGCCGTGTCCTTGGTTAGAGCAGGAGCACGGAACGTTGTGTATGCCCGTTCGAGTCCTGCCGTGTCGTACAATTTTTGGTAATCTACAATCGAATTTATATAATCACAAAAAAATATCAAAATTTTGAAATGCCCACTGGTTATCATTCATTGATATTAAAGAAGAAGAGGTAAAATATGTTTACTCACTTCGGTACAGTAATATTAGGGTATCGCTTTTATGACATTGGTACGGAACCCTAGATGGGACAGTTTCGTCATGTTAACACGTCCAAGGCATTGACAGTACAGGTTATAGTAGCGGCTTAAGCTTGAGCACCGCCATTCGAAGTTATACATAAGTTATCGATCTCAACTGTGGGCGTGGAATTTATACTAATTTTTAGTTGTAGTCACATATATATCAAGATATACAGTAGAATTGTGTGTGACGACTCCGCTGATAACGAATATACTAGCTGTTACCCAAGATGTTGTCTTCGTCCCGTCGTTCTCGCGAAGTTTAACGTTTGTGCTGGACTAAGGTACTAACTTGGATTCAAGACTCAGCAGTTCTGGTTTAAACCTGGTTTAAGTATCTTTTTGTAATAAGGCCGATAGTGTCGCGGAAATTTTTTTAGATCATCTAGAGACGGTTCATTGTTTAATACATATTTTTTGGGTAATAAATAAACTCTTCAGCTTTATAATATATGTATAACGGAGGTGGGAGTGGTTACATCCGGATTCTACTGTATATGTATATGTTAAGTCGTATTAGTAAACGCATATAAACCACTAATACTTCTTGTCCCTTAACCTGTGATAAGTACGTTAGTTTAGATTTTCTGAATTTCTTGAACACTTCAAGGGTTGCTCAGAAACATTTCAGATGTATGTTCCTAATTTCGGGTGTATTGTTGAATGAAACAATTTTAAATAACGCGAATGAAAATATTATTCGTTGAATAAGAGCAAATAACTTGTTACTTCGGTAGTTGACGGCCTCGTTAGTGTGGTGGTAGCATAGTTCAATCCCCACCAATGTGTTTCTAATCAAGGTCTATTTTTTCCGAAACATGTTGTACTTCGTCTGGAAATCTAGATATTAAATGGATGGTCCAAAAAGGGGAAAAGCCGTCTGTGGATTTTACGATATCCAAAGTCAAAATAGGTCGACATCGCATCTAGTTGACATGTTATATTCCTGGTGTATTTCTTTTACCATCACGTGAATCTCTTGCTTTTCTTTCCTCTATCATAAAAGAGGAGGTTTTATACGTTAACTGTCGGTCCCGATTATCACCACAAATCGGGCGCGGTGGGTTTAAACCCACGGGGAGAACTGTGCCCTATGGATATACTTCGCGTTTCAATCTGTTTAAAATTGTTCCATTCAATGTGTACAGCTAGTGTACAATTCGCTTTTCTTTTCTACTAGTCGACGCGATACGAAACGCAAGTTCCGTTTCGGCGTCTAGGCGATTTTTAGTTTGTAGTGTATTTCAAGAATTTACATTTAGTTTACATCTGTATGTAATTGGAATTTACATAATACGTCAACCGAAACGCGGTGGATCGTATGATCGGACATTTTTATATTATATATACGAAGGGAGCAGTTTTATTATTCATCTATTATTTCCATTTAATTGTTAATGTAGACACATTTAAACCTGTAAGATCTTAATTTGATGTCTATCCCATTCTTAATAACCCCATTAGTTTATCTGCATGGTACTTCATTTATTCTTATCTGTGGTAAATTAAGCGAGAACTTCAACTTGTCGAACGGTTAGAAAATGGCGGAAACGATTAGCGGAGTGTTGCCCTCTTGAGACGAATGGAAATTGTCTATGGTAAAAGGTCGTTTTAAGATATGGTACAACGAAAGAAGATTTGTTAGTAAGATACAAAATACGACTTTATTTCTTGAAAATTCTGTAGGTATTTTATATCTTATACGGATATCGGTGTTGCCAGATTTTTGACTTAGCCGGTTTCTAGGTTTTCTTGTCAAAAGTTGGACAATTATTTTTTTTTTTATTTGACACTTTCAGAAAATATGTTACCTTAAAACAATTATTGGTGATTTCCATAAAGCGTCACCGAGGTATTTGTTTTTTCACAACTGGCAACACTGGTGCGTATCCTCTCGGAATGCTAAAGCGCAAGAATGGTTCAGAAAGGTTAAATGAGGCGCATTGTGATGTTATTGCAGGTCTCATAACTAACTACTGAAAAGTACAACGCGGTTACAAAATATGGCGTCCAAATATATGGTAATCTTCATACATTTTACTTCAACTAGAAAACAGACAATTTCAGGGAGGCTATATGGCAACTTTGAATGGTGAAGTAAAATGTGTTAGAACAATTACACTATATCGATATATCTTCAAACTGGCAACACCTTTGAAACATTATATTACGTGAATTTAAAATTAATTTTAATAAAAAACAACAATACGTTAAGATTAAAACCAAGAAATAAATATAAAACGCAATCATTATGAGTAAAACCGATCAGTCCGACATAAAGTTTTTTACCGTAAAGTTAATTTTAAATTTATATATACCTCTCTTATTCTTGTTTACATCAATAACTAGATATACATTATATAAAAGAAGATATATCGATCGAAAGAATCAATAATCACGTTTAATCCTAAAAAGGGAAGATTTCGCCGTAATTTCAGCGTTGATAACTGCCAATAGATTACATTTATACATAAATAATATTACATTGTAATTTAATGAACATAAGAAACATTTCGACATGTAAACGTTTATTTTTATCGTAATGTATAGTTAACTGGTAATACTGCGCTCTGAATGGCGCGTTATTCGTAAGGTTTCATTAACTGTCAGACCTGGTAACCCTAAAAAAATGGATCACGAACATCGTTCAGCATATCATTGTTTTTCGGGCCGTTCGGCCGACGTGTGCGAGAAGAGGGCGACGATTCGCCATCACGAGCGGACGGTATCACCTGGAGATGTTAGCTCCTTGATTGCTTAAAGAATTAATAAATCCTAAATCGAGAACCTCTTCTCGCTCACGTCGGCCGAACAGCCCGAAATACAATGATATACTGGCAACCCTGTTTTTAGTCTCTGGTTCATTTACCGGGTCTCCTATAAGGCGTATTTGTATTGTACTGAAGTGGATGCACGGCGTTTTTCAAAGTATATACTAGAATTTAAATTTAAACAGCTGATTGTTGCGAGGGCCTACACGAACGGCTCTTTGTATTTTGAACGAAACGAACTGTGATTCTTGCTTTTAATAGCTCAACCGTGCATCAGTTACATAATTGCGAAAATATAATTTTAATCCAAGCTTTTAGATGCTAAAGTGTAATTGTGATATTTGGAGCAGATACGTCTTTTTAATAGTGGTAAACACTTCGTTCACGTGTCTATTGTAATCATTTATTGTTAAAATAGGGTTTAATTGTTGAGAATATCGTTGCAAAATGTTATATGGAGATTCCGTTCTACCGTATTTTGTAGCAGAACTTTCGATGATCGTATTGGCAATTTTTTTTTTAAAGTGACAACACCGAATCAAATTGGATGCCAATTTACTTGACGTTTGACATTCGCTTCGTAAGCATATGAGTTGTCAAAATAATTAATAAATCCTAAAGTTATCAGTGCAACAAAATATATATTTAACAATAAAAAGAAATTGTGCCGTCTTAACTTTGACATATTTTTTAACTATATCCTTTTTACTATATCCGATACTTTGTCGAATTCATCATCATCCTTTATTATTGCCGGTGTTTGCCCGAATAACTAATATTACAATAAACTTTTAATGGATTAAAACGCGACAATTATTAGTAACATTTTCTAATTTTAACTTCAACCCCCACGTTTCGGATGCTTTGCAGAAGTACCCTTTTATATATTGTATCCGAAACATCGGGTCGAGGGTAAAACTTGTAAAATTATATATTTCCAGTTTTGATACCGTTAAAAATGTTCTATTACTAATTATTTAAATTGTTTTTTTACAAGAAATAGCAACTTATTCATATGTATTTTATGGTGTCAATTCAATTGGTCTTATTCAACCACATTTTGGTTAACCCAGCTGGTTCTCTCTGTGAACATTTTGCAACAATATTCGGATTATCGAGATTGACCTAGTTCATAATTAACACTCTTAGACCTAAATCACTTCTTTAAACTATGACCCGACGCGATTCGATATCAAGGACCTTAGTGAGAAGATAGAGCGAGGCATATTTAAAGTATTTTTCTACTAGATCGTTTAGGGATGCTACTAGATATTTTTGGACCATTGTTAAGATAAATACGATCAGTATTGGTGAGGATAAAGAATTTAAATGTTAGTATTTGTGGACGTCGATCGATGCGGTTCGAAATAGATAGGCTTCTGTAATCGCTAAATATGCACCTGGAACTGGCAACACTCACGAGTGAAGTGCGTCGAATTCGAAAGTAGAATGCCGTTGTTCCGAATTTGAATGTGTAACTACCGTCGTTTTCGATGCGTTTTACTCTAGCTTTAAACAGTACACAGGTCTCGGAGTGTTAACTACCGACCAATACGCAAGTTGGTGAAAGCAGGTGCATTTTCATGTACATTTCCCATTTAAACAGGATAGTGTCCCAGTAGGTGTTTACGAAGAAACCGCTTATTTTTGTATTTTCCTAGTAAGTAATGTTTATGAAGCATTAAATTCGTGGTGTCTCCTAAAGATTGTATGCATATGCTATAGATGCATATTTCGTCAACATTTTGTTGAAATAATAAGTGCGTAATAAAACACTTTTTCGTATTACTTTTCGAGTTTTATTTAACTACCCACATTTTGCAGGTTCCTCCTTGAAAGGTCGCTTTCTCTCCACTCCTATGTCCTTTTCTGTCATAGTTAACTAGCAAATAGATTCGCCTATAGACAACACAAAATAATAAAAATCCATATACTGTCTGTAGTTTATGCGAGTAGTACACTTTTAGACAAAGCACTTTAACGGTTTAAAACGCGATGTATATTTGTTAAACTTATTTGAAAGTTATTTTGGTCTCCCTGTGAACACGCCTGATGCAAAGCATCCGAAACATCGGGTCGTGGTTAAAATAATGTTTAACTAATTTTCATCACGTTTTAAACCGTTAAAGTATATTATGGTTTTATTCGTCATTCTTGATAAGTTTTGTAGATATAATGTATTTTAGGTTGCAGCTGTTTGCACCGTTGGTGTGCGATTGTTTTATAATGAAACCAAATTTACATTTTTAATAATAATCTTTATTATTACAGAAAACTTACAAAATATAGTATTACAGACATAAAGTACAACATTTTAAATGCACAAATCATAGCATCATATAGTTGTGTGTGTACACACACAGTGTATATTTACACACTCCAGAGGTAAACATTTAAAATTTAACACAATACAATTTCTATGCAAACACATGATTGATTTTCAAAAGAGCCACAGTTTGGAAGATGCCTAAAAACCAACCCAATAAGTTTCCTAAAGCAATTAACTTAACTTGACCTAAAATTAATTTTAGAACATTGATAGTATTTAATTTCATTTATTTAAATTAAACCGCTTAATTTAATTCATAGAGGGGTCTTTTAACTAACGTTGGCAATACGATAATTTGGTCTATTAAAATATATAATGTTAACTCTCTATAACGTAGAAACCTTCCTTATTTTGCGTTTAAAACCGGTAAAAGAAATTTAGTTTTGAAGATAACAAACTTCTAGTTTTAGATAACCTAACAAAGAGCATTCATCGGTCGGAAAAATGTTCAAATATTTACTCCTTGACTCAATACCAATAGGTGCTAGGTTTGAATCCCGGACTTCTACCTTTCACCCCACACAAGGGCAAATGGGGTTTCACCATAGCACTTTCAAATACGACAAACAGTCCTGCATGGCATCCATTATTCATGTCACGCTTAGTTTCTGTTGTGGGGGGGAGGGGCAACTCACTTTCTCTTTTTCGGCCCTTTACAAAGTTTTAATGTGAACATACAAAGTTCTTTTATGGGGCGTATACCCCTGCTGCCCCAAAGGGCCGCCCAAGTTTATATGTGCGCTTTGAAGTTATTTCACTGTACAAGGAAGGATTAATCAGGTCTAATATCATGTTTCAGTTAAGTCGTGGATTTCGTATTTGGGGTAATTTTCCACTTCCGACTTCAGAACTACCTTCGCTTGGTCAACTTGCGACTGGGTTAATGTTGGCAACGATTTGTAGAACATCTGAAAAAGTGTTCACGTTAGAAAAAAGGCCAAGTGTGAGTCGAATTCGCTAACTACCCTCCATACCATTTGACTACTGATATACAATGAAAAAAGAGGGGGGTGGGGCAAACATAGGGGTTTGTGCTATTGGCTACTGTAGGTGACGCGAATAGCATAAATTTAAATAAAATAATCATAACGGTTTAAAATATCAATACCACCGCTTTTGTCCCCGGTGACAAAAGCTGCAGCAACGTCGGGTCGTAGATCAAATAAATTAAAAATAATCTAATTAATATGTTTCGGCTTTTAAACCGCCAAGTGTTTTTAAAATATACCTATTGCTGTTTTCAAGTGCCGAACTTTAAGCCTGCGTTTCACTCGAAGGAAAATGGAATATCCCAGCCAAATAACATCTCAACGTGATGCGCTGTCGACCTATTTTTGCTTTAGATATTGGGATATGCTAGAGTGCAAAATCGAGCACCTAAAGTGTAACTTTAAATTGAATTAATCAATTAAACATCTCTACATTTTGGACCAATGGTATCAATGGCCAGTGGAGGTACGAAAGGGAACGAAGGACGTAGGTTCAATTTCCATTACGTCAGACATGTCAATAACTTTCTGATCTTTCCAAATATTGTGAGACAAGAGAATCTCGATATGGGATGTAGAAATCGAAATTCCGACAACACATAAAAAATCTTTAAAGTTTCAATTTGACTATGTAGTTGACTGAAAGCCAAAATGGATCGACAACGCATCTTGTCTGGACAGTTACCTTCGATCGAGTGAACCTCAAGCTCATCGGTCCTCCCCCTAGAGAATCTTACCTTTTGAGTCATGAGCAACATTCCGTGGGCCTTCTTCATGTGCTGCTTGAGTAACGACATCCGCGGGTACCTGCCGTCAGAGATCGAATTAGTTTAACAGCGGACACAGAAGTATATCTCATGCCCCAAGGGAGACGTATCTTTGATATTAAAAGGTTTGCTCCCCACCATTTCGCCATCACTGCCGCATCAAATGGTAATGTCAATCATTCATATAAAACACTTTTAACGGTTTAAAACGCGAAATATATTAGAGCAATTAAGAATTTCTTATAGAAGATGCTGTGCAGCTACCCTGGTCACGGGGGGATTGAAGGGGGAAGGTGTACCTAATGTGAAACTCAAATCGGTTACTTTAACGCCATTCGGCATTTGGAGAAATTGGTTGGCTTCTTACAAAGCATCCGAAACGTCGGACCATGGTCTGCAAATCATGAGGTCCTGGGATCGAGGTTTTCGGAGAAGATAGGGAAGTGACGTCACTTCGTTGTCATAACGTGATGAATTAAAGCTCTTAAAATACCTCCTGTGAGAGACGAGATATGCTCAGCAGTGGAGCATTGTTAGAACGATTTAACGTTTAAATAAAACACTTTGAACGGTTTGAAATGTGTAAAGTATTACTTATTTACAATATAAGTATACTTACTATATAATTGTACTCTTTTCGTTATATTTGTTTGTTTCTGTTATGTTTCTTGAATAAACTGCAACTGCGACTCAACGTTTCGGACGCTTTGCAGGCCGTGGTCAAGCGGCGTTTTAAATCGTTAAATGTGTTTTATTTAGATTCTTGAGTATTGAATCAGTAATATAATCGGAATTAAGATCTACAATTAAATATTAGCGTTCATATTTTTCGGTATTTGAAATCTTCATTTTAATCTTCCTTTTTTGAGGGTAGTTCTAAATCCGGTCTTGCCTAAATGTGTCAAGGATCCCTAAGTGTGACAAATACCTGCGCGGGCACAGCTGGCAAGCGCAGGGCGGCGGCAGGTCGCGGTGGACGCGGTCTACGTGGAGTTGGAGGGCGTTCTTTTGCGCGAATCGCTTCGGACACTCTGAACACGCGAACTTTCTCAAAGCTGCAATTTAACGCACTTTAGGCTCTCGTCAGACTATGCTACATGAGGCTGGTAGAGGCAGAGTGGCCTAACTGCAATTTTACGACTTGAGTTTTATTTTCATAGTCTAAAATTGATAATCTACAAGAGCACAGTGATCGAATATGTTAACATAATTCTAACACAAGTGATAGTTAAAAATTATTTTCGCCCAAGTTAATAGCGCATTTTTTTGGAAATCATGTTAGGCCATTATGCCTTTATCAGCCTCATGTAAGCTATATAACTAGACTGTATCGGGCCCGTTGCACCAATGGTATCAACGGGTCGTAGATTCCGCCGAGTCCACAATGTTTTCCAAAATTTGGCCTCCGTCTGGAGATTTAACGTATGGTAGGAATATCGAAATTCCGTTTTCACGAAAAAAGTTGTGTTCATATAGTTCTGACATGAGCCTAAAAAATTCTTAAACTCCTCCAGGAGGCAAAACTTCCTGGGAATATCGAAATTTCAAAGTCACGAACCGATGAAGATGAAGCCGTCACAAGTAATCGCGTTTCGGTTTCAGTCTGTGGATTTTAAAATGTCCACAACCAAAATAGGCCGACAACGCATCTTATTTGGATGTTACATGACTGGGGTATTTCACCTATCATCGAGTGAACCCTAAGCTTGTCTGCCCTCTTCTGTCACAAGATAGATACGGAATGTAGTGAATGAACTAAGTCACTAAGTAACAATTAAGTTAAATCAAATGTTAAGTTAAGTAAATGGGTTTTAAGTTAAGTCGAGTTTAAGTTTAAGTGTTACGTTAAATTTTGTTTAATTTAAGTTTTGCAAGCTGCCCTAAGTAAGAGAGAGTTCACAAAAGAATAGAGTTAGATGTATATCAAACTTTATTGCTTATTTGTATTTAAAAATACAGTTGTATATAAAAATAAATTATAACTACAGGTACTTGTATATCCGCCAACTTTAAAGTTAAATTTCGAATACAATTTCCAAGTTGGCAATCTTAAAACCTTTAGACTCGTTTAAAACGGGTTTTTTATCTGTGCAATAAACAATCTTCGATTAACAACAACTGAGCGTGGTTCACGCGAGTGGCATACGATAAATAAAACACTTTTAACAGTTTGAAATGGCTAAGATAAGTTTTTCAACCCAGGTTACGTACGCAAGTCGTTCATTCTCACGTTTTAAACCGTTAAAGGAATTTTAATTAACCGTTGTTACGTATCTAAGTTACTATCTTGCTGTTAATACCAAAAGGTCGCAAGAAATATCAATAATATTAAAACCGGGCCGCTAATTTGACTGTAGTTTACGCGAATACACTTTTAACGGTATAAAACGAGAGAGCAATATTTATTTTTAATTTATTTCAAAAACCGGCGTTTCGCATGCTTTACAGTAGCTGTGGTCACGGTGGGACTAGAGATGGAGGGATTTAATTTTACAAATAAAATAATTTAACGGATATATTTCGCATTTTAAACCGTCAAAAGTATTTTATCAATCAACCCAGGGGGGAGAGGGGCATACATATATACATAACACTTGAACGGCCGCCAACAAGGTTTATCTAGTATCGTTGATCGAAGACGATAGCCAATATAATAAATACCGCGGAAATAGGCCATTGACACTCGGGGATTCCCCGCATAAGATTGTCAGCTTCGAAGCTGTTCACACAGATGGCGCTAACACGTGGTCGGCACTAGTAAATAGAGAACGGAAGATGACGTACGTTGGTGCGTCTCCATGTGGGTGTCCAGGGCGGCGCGCTGGTGGAACCGTTTCCCGCAGTGCTCGCAGACGAACATGTCCCCGCGGTGTTTCCGCATGTGGCGCTGTAATTAATCAAACGGGCTTTTTAATGTGGACACAGATGAGCATGGTTCACTGAAATAGCGCAGCCATATAACATCCAAATAAGATGCGCTGTCGACTTATTTTCACTTTGGATATTCGGAAATCCACAAACTGAAACGCGATTAAACTTCACGGATTCTTCATCTATGGACGGTAGTTTGTGATGACCGAATTTCGATATTTGTATCACCCTTTTAATATCGAGATTTCCAGAAGTCTAGCATGATTCAGAAAAACTATAAATGGATTAGAAAAATGTTGGACCCAGTGGGGATCGAACCCACGACACCGTGATTAAGTAGGGCACGGCTTCGCGTTTTAAACCGTTTAAATGATTAATTTAAATGTGTACAACCCGCGTAAACTACAGACAGTATTTATTATTTTGTCCGAAGATATAGAGTACAATCTATACTGACCGATAGCGCTGATGGCGAGGTGTATGCGCACACGCAGTAGCTGCAGAGGTAGGGGCGTTGGCCAGCGTGCACGTGCTCATGGGCGTCCAAGCCCACGCGGCTCGTGAAGGACGCGGGGCAATGGCTGCAGAGGAATCTGGAGAAGAAATACCAAACTTACAATCTATATTTCAAATAAGCCAATATTATTGTCTTGTCTTGTATTGGCTTTATTTTCTAAAATTATTAACAACACAATCTTATTAATAATTATTATAAAGCCTTATACAAGGTATAAGAATTCATAATTCTTAAAGTTCTGTTTTTCTTTTGTGGGGCATGGGACATCTAGTTGAGTTGTCGTGGTCTTTCATTTACAACTAACTGACTTGACTATAGCACTTCCACCAGATGAGTTTCACCACTAAGCCATTAGGGGAATATACACAATTAAAACCTAGGTATTGTCTGTAATTTATTTATTTTAACTTCGACCCGACGTTTCGGATGTTTTGCAGTAGGGGATTGAAGTAATGTCAATGTCAAATCTGCTACACTAGCACCATCTGTTTAGTTGTAGCAGGCATTTGGAGTGACATATCATAACCATGACCAACTCGCGTTTTAAACCGTTAAAAAGTGTTTTATTTCAATACTTTACCTATTATTTTCTATTCGGATTTCATGTGATTTGGAGAAGTACGGCCTGCTTCGTCCCTTGCTGCTTAGATGTTTAGAACGAGCCTTTAGAACAGTGATAATATCCGGATACACTGTGCAGCCCTTCTCGTGTTTGTAGAGGTTTGTCGGACTAGAATGAGAAATAAATAATGTCTAGGTTATTTTAAGGAATTGGGTTTTTATGATAGAGAAAGACGGACAAACTTGAGGCTCTTGATGGAGGGAATAAAATAAAAATGAGATGCGATATCAACCTATTTTGGCATCGGATATTGAGCGAGCATTATCCAGATATTCAAAGTTTCTAGAGACTTGAAACATGAAAGAAACACATTGGACATAGTGGGCATTAAACCTTTGGGTTATCAGACATACATTGCTAACATTACCATGTAACATCCTGTAACCCTTAATAAGTTTTTCTATTTTGGACACAGAAGGCCAGGTGATCCCAGTCTACATAATGTTAGCAAATTATGCTTTGCCCATATCCCCTCATATATTGTGGAGATCATTGGGTTATTTACTTTTGGAGCGAGATAAGGATGTGAAGAAACCTTAAGAAGACTGAAGTGATGCATCTGATGTAAGCCTATACTTATTACAGATTATAAATAAAGTGTTAGTGTCAATACTCAACTCACTTTCTAAAATCTGCCCCGCATGCAAAACATATCAGATATCGTTCACCGTGATAGTACTGATAGTGACGAGCAGCCTCTGGCATACTGTTGAAGAACTTTCCACATGAAGAGCATCTAGAAAGAAGAAGAATAAAATATAAATCTCTATATTATATGCAGAAGCAAGTATAAAGAAAATGTGTATCTATTACTGAAATCAAGATTATATGTCTAGATTGGGACTTACTCAAACATCATGCCGTTCATTGCACAAAAGTTATCAGGCAATGGCGGAGGTTCTATCGATCTCATAATCTTAGCCAACGTAGATATTAATTTGTCTTCATCGTTCAATTCAGGGTATGTGTCTTTTAATTCTTGGACATATGAAGTAACAGGATTTGAACGAGGCTTTTCCTTTCTCCGTTTTGGTGTTACAAATTCATCATCACTTATCTCTAAATCTTCTTTGCTGGGACGATACTCTGTGTCAGAATCGTTATCTTTGGCTTCCGATTGATCCTGTTGGTTTTCATCAGCTTCATCGACTTGCTGTACTAAGACTTGCTCACCATTTATTTCTATAATGTTTAAATTTGATGAATCTTGAAGTATATACTCCCCGTTTTCCTGCTGAATTAGTATGTGTTGTCCATCTGGTAACTGGAGTTGTCCATTTTCTAATTGTAAAACTCCATTTTCATCCAATCCTTCAATGATAATTTGTTCATCGTTTGTTTCTTCATTGTCTTTAATTTCTTTAAGTTCTATTTCATAAGGTTGGTCAAGGACTATTTCATCGGTAGCCATGGGTACTTGTTTGCTACTGGTGATACCATCACTACTGTCTACTTCATTCTCTTCCTCCGGTATACCCTCATTAACCACTTCTACTGTATTAAAATCAAAAGGTTCGTCCCTAACCTCTTCTTCATTTTGTATCTCATAATTACATGTCTCTTCATCGATCTCTTCTTCTTCCAAGTCTGCGTCTTGCATATTGGAGTCGCTTTGCTCTACAACATCCTTAAGATCCTCCGGAACTTGATAATCTTGATCTCCAATGATGACAAGAAACATGTCCTCGTTTGTGCTCATTCTTAGGTATTCTAAAAATTTTATACCAACATTAATTTAATATGTATACTTATATTCTGTGAAGATAAGGAATTAAGTTTATGGACATATCATTGAATTGATGGCACTAAGAATAAAAATAAAACAAAAAAAGAGGGGTAAAAATAAGGCTATTAGTAAAATATGAATGTTTTATATAAATTGTAATGTAATTGTTTGCATATGATGCAACTTCCAAACTTTAATTGTTACAGTACATCTTTGTAGAGGTTAGAGAACTATGTATGAGAGTTTAAAGTTTATTACTTATTCATATTATTTCTTATAAATCGAAATAATTCCGTAATGGGATTCGGGCCTCTGTATATGGGACGCGAAGCTTGTGATGCTATAGTTAAAGTGAGTTCTTTATTGAAACTAGGCCGCCCTACGGACGAAGTTCATAAGTAAAGTTAAACATCAGTTATATTGTAAATGAGATATCGTTCACAGCATTATTTATTTCGCGCCCCCGAATTGGCGCCACTTTGACAATCTTTTTTATAGGACGCAAAGCAAAGGCCACATTGATAGGAATAATGGAGTCAATAGTCAATTAAAGAGAATACCACTACGTACCTTTAAGCTATCATGTTTTGAAAACTTGTTGTTGAATAATAATTCAAACACTGTAAAGTGTAAGGGAATAAAATTAGACAACTGGCAAATGGCATCCACTTTCTGATGGCAGAGAATTAAGGAAATATCAAAAACTCGTTTGACAGTGGAAAGTAATGCCAATGACAGGGAAGCTCGCGATTGATCTGTCAAATGACAAAGAATAAACGGAGACGGAAGCAAAGAGTTTCTATAGTTACGTCACGATTGATCATAGATGAGTAGGGATACAGAAAATATAAACGTGTTCGTACAGATTATAATTTTGTGTTGTAATCTGTGGTGCCTTGTAAAGCCAAAACTAATAAAACATTAAAATATCAAAGATGACTCAATCTTAAACAAAATTAAAAACAATATTAGCGTTAAAATATTAAAATACTGAAAAATATATATATTATATAAGTAATGTAAAATTATAGAAGTAAGTACATACAAATAAAATTCCTAGGTTCAACAAATAATATATATTTTTTTAGCATAAATGTCTTGATTTTACCACGTGCCTCTGTAATAATATTCAAATAAAGTAATATATTCAATAATACATTTTTCTATTTAATTTTATTATTCTTTAACCTGAATTTAAAAATTTTATACTGATTGGCAACTTTCAAACTTTAGTCCTTACTTTTGACAGCTGCATGCTTGTGAAGTTTTGTTATTAATACATCGCTAAGGTTTTGCAGACTCCGACTGAAAGAGATTCAATGAAACACCGAAAAGTTCAGTAATTTGCGAAAGAGTAGATTATGGTATCTCTTAGTGATTATAAACCATTTTGGCCAGCCGTGATAAAATGTACTATAGGTACTAACTTCTAAGTATAAATAAATAGATTTACGAGAACTTTTAAAAATGTTTTTGGGCATTATAAATAAAAACATAATAGTATAATAGTGTATTGTACATAATATTTGATTTCTCCTTAAAAATATCGCCAAATAGTGAACGCAAAAAGCAATAATTGGTGAACCGCAATGTCTTTGGACTTATTAATACAGTTTCCCTCCTCTAGTCCAAGGTTTAAAGCAGCCGAAACTACATTGCAGCAAACAGTCCAGTGCTTTAAAGGTATTTCAAAAAACTTAATATTTTTCACATGTTATTGCTCATGATGGCATTATATAAATTAAAAATCAATTATATATTTAATAAAATTACTACACGAGCATGAACCGGCATCCACAGTGTTTCCTTGTGTTACTCTAACCCATTGACACAGTGACAATGTTTTTAAAATAATAATCGATTTTTTATCCTATTTCCTTCATATCATCTTAAGATTAAATATATATACATAATTTTTCTCATTATTTATTGGAATCTTATATTTGAAACTTTTCAGAACTCGCTGAGGAATATGATAAACTTGTAGCTGAAAATATGGATTACAAATCTAAATATCAGGCTCTTATGGAGTGTAGCAGGTAACATAAATATTTTTTATTATGTTAGCATTTCTAAGTGTTTTTTTTTCTGGTATCTACAACTTATCATTTATCACACTACAGTAATACTAGTTCAGATGCACTAAAGAGAGAAGTTGAACAAAAAAATAACATTATACAACAAGTTGGTAAGTTATTTTTTATATTATTACTAGCTTTGTCAGCGACTTCTTCTGTGTGGAATAGTTATTTTGAACATTCAAATCTGTTTTGCAAACCTCCAGTGAACCTCTATAAATTTAACATGTTACCCATTAGTCACTTGCTGTCATTCTTTTGAGTAATCATATTAGATTGATGTAGTGGTGTGGACATTTTTTTATCATTTATAGAGGAATCATTCTTTCATACATAGTTTTTTTGGTATTTTGAACCATTTACGCTCCTATTACGCGTTGTGCAATGTTTTAGCCTATAGCCTTTTTTGATAAATGCTCTAACCAACCTATTTTTTTTATTCCCGAGATAAGTGAGTTTAAGCAAACAAACAAACTGTTACAGCTTTATAAATTGGTATAGATAAAAATGTTGGTTTTTATGTTTGTACTACTTGAACTTTGTTGCAGCATCGGCTCTATCCAAGCTACTTGAAACAAAAGATTTCAAGATCATAGATGAAATTTTTATGTTAATCTGTGGAGATTTGAAACAGAAACTTGGTGCTAGTCCAAAAGAATCGAAAGTAGTTCAAGATAAATCCTTGTCGGAGGTAGAAGGTACACCAGGACGGAAAAGTCCCATAATTGCAATGAGTAAAAAGATTAGAAGTAGTACTACCCACAGCTTAAATTTAACTAAGAAGTGTGATGGACGGTAAGTTTCATTAAATTAATTAAATGTATAACTTAAGTTAAGTCTACACTGAACATTAAACATATAGTAGGCTCACATTTTTATTGCTAGTTGTTTAAGCACAGCTAACAGCAAATTAAAATTTTTATACATGTTTTCATTTAAGATCAAGAGCCCAGACGGCCAGACCTTCGTTATTTTATAAAAGTTGAAATTTTCCTGTAATGCTCCTATACGGGTAAGAACACAGGACTAAGATTTTGGTTGGTATGGAGGTAAAGGTAGTAAGGTTATAAAATATATTAAAATTTGTTAGAGCATAACCAATTTTTTTATATTTTTTTCGGGATAACTATAGAAATCTCTATCATTGCGGACACTTATAATGACCCCTTGCCAGACACCCCTAAACTTTGATAAATTACAATTATACTTTATTTAGTATAAAGCTCATTTTATATGTTACTTGGGGACCTATAAAAAGATTATATAGGACAGTTTTGTGGTTTTTACATCTTGCCAGACAATTGAAAGTCCATGTAGGTGGAATACCTATGATTACTATTTTTTAAGATATCTAATAAAAAATAATTTTATTGCGTTCATAGCCATGTTGTATAAAGTAAAAAATATTAGTTTAATATCATAAAAATATAATAAAAAGTGTGATTACAGGTAAAAAAAAATTTAAACTTGTTTATTAATTTAAGCATTGTCGTCGATGTTATCATTTTCTTCATCACTACTACTCCAATGATGCATATCGTCCTCAACATCACCTTCTTCGTCAGTTTCTGAAAGAAAAATAAGCAAGTTTATACAATTATGAATAATTAAAAAATTATGTATCATAATTTGTCATAATAATTATATACCTGATTGATTTTGAGCGAATCCCTAAATAGCTCGGTATTGATCCCCTTTTAACCATTTGAACTGGTATTTGTCATCTTTTAATACCCAGCGGTATTGTCGTTGATATGTGGTTGGATTTTTCAAATGAGCATTATTCCAAATGGACAAAAGTTTGTCGAGAAATTGTGAGTAGCTGTTTTGAAGGGGTAGGTTGCTAGCTCAAAATTTCGAACTTCTTTAGGTAAAAGTTTAATCGGAGACTGTTAGAGTGATGAATATTTGAAGTCTAGGCATCAAATAATTACATTAGGGACATTGTAGACATTAATATAAATCTCTGAAAAATATTAAAGATTTGTTGATAATTTAAATTTTCAATTAATTTTGTTGCCGAAGTTCTTGAAAGTTCCTGTACTTGGATCTTTTTTTAATATCTTGTATGTTTAATTTTCCTTTCTAAGAGCACAATATTATTTTACCATCACTTTTATTACAAACGAAACAAATTAATGTATCTCCCATGATAACACTTTTTACTAAAATTATGTTTTATTTTACAAAAAACTGCACAAATATCAATTATAAAACGTTGGTTGTATGATTATTAAAAAACAATTCAATAATCATAAATAACAGATAGCGCGCAGTAAAAGAACGCATTGACTAAGTTTTATCTCACTCGCACCGCTTGAATAGTTTTACCTCGCTCGCAAGTGGACTTTCAATGTTCTGGCAAGATGTAAAAACCACAAAAACTTCCGGCTATTGAGGTAACATCTTTTTATAGGTCCCCAAGTAAATATATAAAATTGACTTTTATACTATAATGAAAGTATAATTGTAATTTATAAATTTAGGGGTGTCTGGCAAGGGGTAGCAACTTATAAGTTCCGGCAATGGATACGAGATTTCTATAGTTATCCCGAAAAAAATATAAAAAAATTGAGCATTATCTCTAACAAATTTTAAGTATATTTTATACACTTTACTACCTGTTACCTGCCCAAGTAACCACAACCAAAACTCTATAGTCCTGTCTTCTTACCCGTATAGGAGACATGTACAGAAAAATTTCAACTTTTAAAAATAACGAAGTTGGCCGTCGTGGGCTCTTGGGCATTAGTAAACGCTTTTAACAGTTTGAAACACAAAATATGAGTTTACTAAATTTTTACAATTTACATATTAAATTGTTGTATAGTGTTATCGATGCTTTGTATCCGCTTCTATTATTACTGATTTGTAGGGACACACCGGAGAAGAAAAATTCCCTGAAGCTAGTTTTTCCATCTCCGAGTAAGAGCAAAGGTGGTGGCAGGATGAAACAGTCTAGACTCAACGTTATGAAGTCAAAATCCTCCTGTGTTGTCGATCTTACTTGTTCTCCAGAGGCCAGACTAAGAGAGGATGATGTGGATATGAAGGTATGCTTCTATGCTCATCAATTTTTTTCCATTGGGGAGGTGATGCCAATCCACACCATCAGATGACCATTTCACATGTGGCTGATCTCTCTAATATTACTAATGTATATAACATACTAAAACTTCTCATTTTTTTTAACGCTCGCAAAAGGATAACATCGGTATGTTTAATATTTTTGTATTATAGCCGAAAAACAACTTACCAGTACCTCAAGATGTGCCGTAGTGAAATCAACTAGGTCTCTTTGGCGGTACGAACGGGACGCGGGGGGAGATATCGATCGCGTTTTCGCTATTGGTAAATCAGTCGGCCTCGCGTCTCGCTTCGTCCCTACGTTCCGTTTGCTCCTAAATACACGCGCGTGCACTTTTATTGAGCTAATTTTGTTGTTACGTATTATAATTTCGCTGTTGTAATAGTGACTTAAATACTGAAGTACAAATAAATGAGTACAATCACTGATAGTGAACCAGATCCAAGTTCCAGGGGAATATGTCAGGCCGGATGTCTCTTAGCCGGCTAGCTTGTAGGATTCGTTTAGCGCTAGCCGCTACTTATACGTGGGCGAACAAAAAGCGACATCTTTAAAGGTGTGTAGGTTTGTTTCGGCCATTTGCTCGTTGGCTCTCGAACGGAAAGGTCGTCAGTGTTTGGCTCTGTTATTTTATCGTGTATATGTAGCGACATACTTACAAATTAGCGGATGATCGTAGATATGATTTTTTATGCTATTAAATCGTGTAAAAAGTTATAATATTTGGAGATTAGAATAAACTTTTTTTTATTAATATCCCTTGTGTGTACTAAATTATAATTGTTATTTTTTGTTAATTCCAGCTTGTGAAAAAGGAATTGATAGACTACGATGAAACGATATTGCCATCACCAACAAGTGGAGCTCTGGTTCTGCCACAAATGTAAGTTTTAAGATTGTTGCGGACAGCGCCACCTTTGTGTATTCGTTGAAAACGCTTTATTGTTCTTGTTGTTGCGGAAAGCGCCATCTTTCTTGTATTCGTCGAAAGGTTTTATCAAATAGGCGAAGGGGGCTCAAGAAATAAATATAAATCATTCACTTTGCAGGTATCCTCAACTCTAACAAGGATATTTAACAAAACACCATTATATACAGTACAAAATATTAAATACAAACAGTATAACTATCCCGATTTGTATTTTAGTAGGAGATTTTTTTTTTTACAGATAGTCAATCAAACAAAAAACTAATAAATTGTAAATAAAAGGTAATTTGTGTACAGTACCCACCATTTGCGAAGCCAACTCGCACGGAGGCTATATAAGCTGCTAAAGACAGAGTGGCCTAATAACGAAAAGCATTTGCAATCAACTCAGGCGACAATGAATTTGTACTATTTTTGTACTATTTGTGCTCTTGTAGATTAACATTTTTGGACTATAAAAATCAGTCAAGTCATAAAATTGCAGTTAGGCTACTCTGCCGCTAGCTGCCACATACATATATTATTATTGCCAGGTATAAATCCACAAAGGACAGTCCGAACAAATTTCAAAAGCCCACCATATCAATAAACATTAAAGCGGAGAAAGAAACTCGAGTGAAAGATGACATACTCTCGGCTACATATACCCAGCAAATTGATCTGATGAAGTCCTGCAAGAGAAGGTATGGAAAAACCCAATATGTTAAGAATGGGTCCCAGTTCGAATCCCTCCTTTTTTCCCCCTATTTATTATTATTAAGTATTTTGTCAAACCTTAAGTTACGGTTCGGATCCCCTTTATAGTAATTATCAATTTCTGTCGTTTCGTGATTTAATTGCATTGAACTGAAGGTAGTGTGCCGTCTGATGGGTCATACATATAAAAATTTCCCATAATATAAAAAAACCTATACAATACTATCGTGTATAGTTACCGCGGGTGGAATACAAGATATGGTTAAAATATTTAATTCTTGACGGTTTGAAACGCAGTTTATAAAAGTTAATATACTTTAAACTATGGCGTAATGCTATAGATTAGCCGTGGCGACTGTTAAGGGCGTAAGTAATTTTGAGTCTTAAACCGTTCAAGTCTATGTAATAATATGGTAAAAAAGTGTCTATGGTATTTTTTTTTCAGTTTACAACTAATTAAAACAGAAAAAACTGATGAAAACGTGGAATATGATGTGAATAACAGTGTCTCATTATTGCAGCAGAAGTCTCCACAAAGGTTTGTATTTCAAATCAATATATCAATATTCGCATCTCTTTAGATGAGATGTTATATAAAAACTCTATCATAAAAAATATGTCAGTATATGCTTAACAAGTTATGTATATAACATTTTTAACAGTTTAAAACACAAAATGTATTAGCAACCTTATTTAAAAATTATTTTCAACTATGGCCCCACGTTAGAAATTGTAAATAAGTTATCTAATATAGTTCGCGTTTTAAACCGTTAAAATTGTTTTAATCGAGTTAGTTAATCGTTTATCAATATTGTCATTAATTCTAGTATCTGTATAACTTGATGTTTTTACCTTAATACTCGATTGATTTTGATGAAATTTTGCAAAGATAGTCTTTTGATTTCATTTCAACAATATATTAAAATCTTACGAGATAGCAAAAGCAGAATGTCCTATGTCGCAAGTATTTTTAAAAATTAAATTTCTACTTACAGCCCAAAGAAACAACCTCTATTGTTGAACAACAACCTGATGAATATCCAGGATCACATGGAGTCCAGCATGTCCATACTCCAAAAGAATAAGGTGTCCCCGACCAACAACCAGCCAGGAGTCAAAGCGAAGAGGTATATTTATTTATAACGTCCGTGGACCTTTTAACGGTTTAAAACGCTGTTTTAGTTGGATTTATTATATCTAAAGCTATAAGTCAATAACACATCTAGTTTAAATGTTATATGGCTGGGGTATCTTACCTATCATCAAGTATGATTAATGCATATGTGGTAAAACATCGGGGGGCAGTGGGGGTAATTGCCCCATGTATAGTAATAAGTAAAATTAGATGTTTAAACGTAAGACGGTCAATATTTGAGTTCGATTTCTACCCGGTCATACACATATATTTATATCTACAACATTTGGAAATATCGAAATTTCTTCTTCCTGAACCGCCCGGATAAAGAAGTCACATTTAATCTCGTTCCGGCTTCTGTCCGTGCAATTCTAAATATCCAAAGCCAAAATAGGTCGACAACACATCTTATTAAGATGTTATGTGGCTGTACTTCACCTTCCTGAACACGGTTGCCTCTTCTATCATAAAGAAATACTTCATAGATTTAAAAGGAACGTATAAAAATAAGCGTACAGGGCCTTATTTAAAAACTCGAAAATAACTTTCAGAACTAAAGTGGAAGATGCAGGACCAGTGTACAAGGAGCCTACGGTGAGGAAGAAGAGCGAGAAACGCGCTCTTCCTGGTTGGAGCTGTGACAAATGTAAACAGGTAAAGAAAGAAGAAGCAAATAGTCTATAAGGGTATAATAGGTCTGTGAAACATAATAATTATCGATGGCCCACAGGTGGAAACGGGATTATAGAATTATAAACAACCATAATCATATCTCTATATTTTGAAGAATAACACTGAAATTTCAAAATGAAATCAATTTTAATTCAATTTTTTTATCGTAAAAATAAAAATCTTACTGATCCTTTACAGCAGCAATAAGAGGGGCGGAAGAGGGGGAAATGAAGATGTCGATGTTAAATAAAATTACTTTCCTATTTTTAACTGATAAATATTAAAACAGGGCAGTTCCAATTTGAGACCAAACATACATAAAATAATAAAAGTAGTTTACTAGTAATCATCATTGTTTACTTAGTGTTAAACTCGTTTTGTTCGCGTTTTAAACCGTCCTTTTTTCAGTTCTACGGTACTCTCTATGCGGATAACCCGGACATGCTCGCCCAAAAAATGGACGAATGTTCCAAGCACCGTGGTCGTAACAACCCAGTGCGACCATCTACACCACCTGGATTTTGGGAACCCAGATGGGATGTTCCCACCGACACTGAAGAGTTCAATAGAAGGAATAACGCTATTTGAAGTGTACAGAAAGACAGGGAAGATCAAACAAGACCAAGCTTGTCTGTAGTTTACGCGAGTAGTACACATATAAATAAAACACTTAACGGTTTAAAACGCGATATATTTTAGTTAAACTTGTTTGGAAATTATTTTCAACTACGGCCCGACGTTTCAGATGCTTTGCAGCAGCCGTGGTCATGGGGGCCTTAGTTAAAAATAATTGTCTAACAAGTTTAACTAAAATATATCGCGTTTTAAACCGTTAAAGAGTTTTATTTAGAAGACCGAGCTTAAAAAATAAAATGTTAAGATTTGAAAGCTTTAATATTTGTAACATGAGGCACTAGATGAATTAAAAAAAAATATTTTGAAAACTTTACGTTTTCAAACGTCTACTAACGTTGTAATTTTATCTTCAACGATTTTCTTAAGATGCAAAACAGAAGACATCGAACCTTAATAAGCTAGTGTTAAGGTTGAAATTACATTGAGGGAGATGCATGTATCAAGAGGTTGAAAAAATTAAACGTTGACGTGAAACTTGCTACGGTCCGTGGTTTCGGATGCTTCGCAGCAGCCGTGGTCATGTGAGGGACTGAAGATGTAGAGAGTCCCTAATGTCATAATCAAATCTCCTACATTAGCACCATCTGCCATGTTTTGTCGTAGTTAATATTTGGAGGGTGGATTTAGGGACACATTCTGTATTTAGTCGCTCCGTGACCACGGCTGCTGCAAGGCATTCGAAACGTCGAGTCATAGTTAAAATGAACTGTAATTAAGCTTTATATGTCGAATTTGAAACCGTTAAAACTGTTTTATTTAAATGCACGTATTTTTTTCTACTCGCGTACAGGCATTGTAAATAATAAAAAAACTCAAAGTAATTCATATTGTTATTTATTTTTGACGGCTGATTCACAAATTTGTCTATTATCTTAATATTAACTTATAAATACAATTTTATATTAAAATCACATTATCATTATAAATTAAATGAATACAAGTTTTCAGTGACTGGTTATTTTATTCGTGGCAAGATAATTATAAGTTAAATATAGAGAAATAAATAAAAAAAAATAGCAAACAAACAGTATTTCATCTATTCTTTGTCGAAATTTAATTTAACATAGCTGGTTTTGATTACAAATCCACGATGTCAACTGTCAGCGAGACAGCTGTCAAATTCGTTAAATGGCGCCGTTTTCCCGCCATAGATAAACAATTGCGCTCGTCAAAAAGTATGTTTTAATCAAATTAATATTTAAGGGTAATTCGGTATCTTTGTCGTCTAATATATAAATGTCATTAAGTACAATACTAATTTCAATGGTAGGTATTTTATAAATAAATAACACACTAAACTAAAAAAAATACGTAACATTATTCTAGTCCAAAGCTCTGTGTAGTTCTGTGGCCTGACACAGACTATGCAATTATCACAGTTATAAACACAAATAAATCACAGATTTGATCAACTTCCGATTCTTAACTCCTTTACAGAATTAACGTTATTTATCTACAAACTAAACTTCTATACTGTATAAAGAAAATAAAACACATTTTTAATGTTTTAAAACGCGAATCTTGGGAATCCTTCTAGACGTTTCGAATCAGACTAAAGATGGCGAATTCTAGTCCTCAATAGTAGTCATTGTTTCGCGTTTTAAAAACCCTGGTTGTAAAGAGTGTTTTTTAACGGTTTTTATATGTCTATTAGATTTCATACAGATTTTTCCAGAACTAGAATGTATTGAATGTCTTGTTGTTAGTATAATAATTGAAAATGTCATAACTAGAAGTGTTAAACCTTACTCGCTAAGTTGTCTGAACTTGTCAAAATTTCGTGATAACGTGTTTCTCCTCGATCTTTCCGTTGATGGGTGGAATTGGTTCCGTGTCCTTTACTATTAGTGAACTATTGTTGATGCCATAGAAGAAGTAGATTAAATATCCTGGAAAAATCAAGTTAGTTTATTTACAACATGGAGACGCATATTGCTACAATTTGTTCAGTAGCTTTACAGACGAATGCAGTGGCGTAGCTATCGTAGGGCCAGGTGGTGCAGTGCACCAGGGCCCCGGAACGTAGGGGCCCGTTTATGTAAGCGTAGAGGAAAAAGATTTTTTAACGTTCTTTTTGCTACTTATAATTTTGAAGGTTAATTTTATTCTAGCTACGCTAGAAGAGGGGATGAGGGTCGATTATTTCTTGAGCCTCAGTATTAGGTAGGCTTTGTCTACCTAGCTACGCCATTGAGGGTAACCCATATTGTTTAATAAATCTCTTACCAATAGCCAGCCACAAAATAAACCGGATCCATGTGAGGTAGTCTAGCTGGACCATCAGGTAAATGTTCATGCACGTACTAAGGTATGGCACAAGGGGCACCAGTGGGACCTGTACATTTCATACTATATAGTAATGACTCAAGCATACATATAACGATGTATCTATACAGATATTATAAAGCTAAACAGTTTGTTTGTTTAAACGCGGAACTCAGGATGATTCGAATTGGATGTCTTGTGTTGGTTGGAGCATTTATCGAGAAAGGCTTTAGGCTATAAAACATCAGTCTGCGAATAGGAGCAAAGAAATAATAGGAAATGTCGAAGAAATTGAAAAAATATTTATCCTTTTTTCGTTGCGTGTGCTGCGAAAACAGTGCGGAAAGATCTTTTAAAACTCAACTCGCAAGAACGACGGAATGTGGATGAAATCGTGGGTAACAACTTTAAATTTAAATAGATAGAGACGCGGATGAAGTTGCAGGCACAACGTCTGTCTAAAAATTCTATCTTATTTATTAAAAATGACTAAATTGTAGTTAATTTAAGTTGATTCTGTAGTAGGCCTGGAAGAGTTAAATAATTGCCAGTATACTGTAAAACATAACCACCTTAAAAGTAAGATGCTTGACGTCCCTCCGTGGTTGACGATAGAGAATGAGAAGCAGAACGAGAAGGATACCTCCAAAGACGCCCACGGCCACACTGCTTAACTGGCTGGCTATGTTCCAGCTAAGAAGACCGCACGTGACTAAAGCAATTGCAACTGAAACAATATAGATTTATATGTATTCCATTCTATTTTACAGAAACAAACCAAAAAAACACGTTACTTGTTAAAAACGCAATATATATTAGGTAAATTTGCAGCAGCCGTGGTCACATCCGAAACAAAACGAAAAAAGCACATTTTTAATTAGATTAATTATTGTTTTTATAATATGGGACTGTTTTTCTATGTTAAAACTTATACTTGCTGATAACAGATTACTGTTTGATAAATAGTCCATTATATATTGATATAATTATATAATATTTCGAATTTCTATTTGTAAACGTGATCTACTGCTCTCGACTGCATTTAAAAAATGTCACTTACACAACACGACAATTGTGCACTTCGCGATGTTAGCTGATAGAGAAGTAGGCTGCTTGATGCCAAGCAAATTGAACATTTGTCGAGCCACGCTGTACGGCGTTTCTGGTAGGGATTTGATACCGTTCAAAATCATGGTGCTGTCCTCTTCATACCTAGAAAATAAAGAAGGACACAAGACTTTATTGGTGCACCAACTGCTGATCAAAAGTCTTCGGGTCTAGCGGATTGCAATTATCACGGGTACCTTCTAAAACCAGATCTTAGGTATGAAAGTAAGAAGTGTTACATGTCTGACATACGCTAAGCCATTGGACTGAGTCGCTCAAGCAATGGACCAGCTCCTAAAACCTTTATTCTTTGAGTGTGGTAACGTATTCAGGCATAGGATTTAAAAGTGATGGAACAAGTTATATACTAGATTTTTTATAAGAACAGGTTATACATTTTGAGGTTAGTTGCTGGATTCGGTCGGCGTGGTGTTTGTTCGAAAAGTTTTTTTCCTTTTCGCCATCACGGCAGGCAATATAAAATTTCACAGATCCCATCAAGTTAACTTCTTTCTAACAAGGGAAAAGCTTGTACAAGGTAATAAATCTTACCTCAATATCAGAACACTAGTCGCAACAATCGTGTAAGCCATCAGCGTTCCGATCGACATCATGTCAATGAGTTGATTTAGATTAAAGATGGCCGCCATTATTGCTGTAACCAAATTGTCACCTAAGTAAAAATCTATTTTAGGTTTTAATTTTTGTGGCATTGCATTTTAAAAAAACTATCTACGAACGTAAAAACTTACAACTATGTAGAAGACATCACTACATTTTTTAAAATTCTTCAGACCCGATGTTTCGATTGTTTTAAGCCTTTTTTTACGGAAGGACTAAATGTGGAGGGTGTCCCACAAATCTGCTACGGCTAGCGCCATCCGGGTCTTCACAGTTGGTATTTGAAAAATCAACCGAAACGTAGCGCCATAGTTAAAATAAGTTAATCATTCGCGTTTTTAACTTTAAAAGTGCTTCATTAAAATGTGTACTACTCGCGCAAACTACAGACTATACTAAAATGAACTTACCAGAAAGTAAACCACTCAAGGCAGTAGCTAACAAAGGAGTTTGTGTCTTCTTATTGATAGCAGAGAGTGGTCTGAAGAGTACACCATCGCTACCCATAGCATATAGGACCCTGGGTAGTGGAAACATAGCGCCAAGCAAGCTGGTGCAAAGGGCGAAGATGGCTCCAATTGTGACTATCCATTTGATAACTGGCATGCCAACTTGAGTGAACACGTGGGGGAAGGGGGCATCAGCGTCCTGATAAATATTGAGGCATGAGGTCTATAGTAATAAGATATTGTAAAACGATTTTTATTACGGCGGTAAATAAAGCGACAGTGTCGCAACGTTGGTGTTTAACGAACTTGCGGTATAAAATGTATGGTTAGCTTTCCACAAAATAAAAATTATAAAATGTATTTATTGTAGAAAGCTATACGCTATATAACATCACACTGCGACTAATACGAGGATGATGACAGTGGTAGATGTGGAAAAAAAGGGGCAAATTATGTAATCTATAAGGATTAAGGTGGCGAGCCACAAGAAAACTAATAAAATAATAATATAAAAATTTAATAATGGTTCTTCTTTAAACGATCTAGATAATGACGGAAACAGTATGTCTCTATCTATCCTATAAGATTAACTGGCAAGAACCGTTTTTATGTTAATCAAATTTGATCAGCTAGTTTATTGTTTTGGCAGCTACAACTCCAAATCTTTCAAGTAAGAAAATATATAAAGAATTCTTCTTACCTGAAGATAATACGGCCACATCATCGTCAGAACGGTCGCGATACTGAAGTAGGACAGGAAAATGATGATCAGCGAAAATACTATTGACAGCGGAATGTCCCTCTTCGGGTTCTTCGCTTCTTCGCCCGTGGTCGCCACGCAATCGAAGCCGACGAATCCGAAGAAACATTTGGCGGCCCCAGCCATGACCCCTGCGACACCCCACGGCATGAAACCCCCCGCGCCGGCTTTCTCTCGATCCTCTTCAGGTATGTCTTCAACGTTTAGCATCCAGTTGGCGGGGTCGCCTGTAATATTACATAAATTAAATGTTTTTTCACTTAATTAATTAATTAAATATTTTATTAAGGCAAAAGACTGGATCCACTTAGATTTTAATGAGAGTACGTGTCTTTAAATTCTTTATCTTGAATTTAAAGTTATAAAATTGAGATTGTCTCAAAAGGCGTATTATTGTCTGAACGATTTCTTTAATTTTTTCGACAAGACCGCCTGGCAGCAATATGATTTGCTCCTTAGGTTAATAAATTCACAATGTATTAGTTGATGTGTATATAAGTGAGTATAAGACATGTTAAAAAAGCCGGACTGAGTTTCTTGGGTGTTCTTTGCAGTTATGTTGTTCTTTTTGCTCTCGTTTGCTCCTACAAACGAACACAATCTATTTTAGAATCACTACAAAGATGAAACAGACAAACGAAAAAAAATTGACGAATCTAAATAATTTGTAAAATTTTAAAGAGAATATAAGCTATATTATTTTTTTTTTTTTTTTTTTTTTTTTTAAATTTCTATTAAAATGTGTCATTGAAATCTTTTTAACATGTGAAAAAAAAAACTACTGGAAGAAAGTACTTTTGACGTTTTGGTAGCCGATATGAATAGCTGTATGTAGCTGTATGATAGTGATAATTACTCAAACACGTCAACGGTTTAAAACGCGAAATATACTACTTAAACTTATTTGATTTATTTTTGAATAAACGTGGTCGCGTCAAACGGACACGTCGGGCTTTAGTTAAAATGATTTTCAAATAAGTTTAACTAATATATATCACGTTTTAAACCGTATTATTTAAATGTGTACTACTCGCGTAAACTACAGACAGTATTTAATCGTTTTATTTTTAAGTGCATACGTCACGATATCTCTTTTGATAAGATTTCGTTCGGAGAAACACGTTCGTAACAACCTTCTGGATTTAACTAGTCAAGTTTTGACGGATAAGTTGATCTAATGGTTGCAAAGAATTAATAATTCAACGTCATTTTTCTAATCGAATACTGTCTGTAGCATTCCACCGCATTCAAATAAAACAATTTTAACGGCTTAAAATGCGATATGTACTAGTTAAACTTGTTTACAAGCGACACACACATAGATCCACAGTTTATTTTGTTACCGAGTTTCATTCAATTCGTGTTTTAAACCGTTAAAAGTGTTTTATTTAAATGTGTACGACTCGCGTAAACTACAGACTATAGATATATAAAATATAAAGATTACATTTTTTGACTATTTTTTAAAAATTTAAGACTCGGGTAGGACTTGAACCGGTTTTTTCAATTAAAGCGTGCTCAAATACCAAATCATGTCTTGCCCGCGTCGATGTTTTTTTTCAATTTGTAATCTATTTTTAATCTATACACGATTTTGTTTAACTTATGATACCTCTGTAAAAAATAAATAAAGATTTACGCCCATCCGTGTAAAGATGGGACATTTTCTATACACTTGAAATAATACATACATACGGCAATACATTTGTCCGTTTAGCTAGTATAATAACACACGTCACTTGCGTTTTAGGGTTGCGTAGCAGGGTAAAAAGAGCCGTAGTACTTCGCTGTCTCTTAAACACTTGTCTGTATTTTTATAATCTATATCTTTCGTGATAGAGGAGGACAGACATAGGGGTCATTAGCCCCAGATATAATGTCTAAACAAGATGCGCTGTCGGCCTCTTTTGGCTTTGATTATTTCGAAATCCACAGACTGAAACCGGAAGTCGATTGTATTTCACGGCTTTTTCATCTGTGTAGCTGGTTGATTTTACCACCCGTTTTACCACCAGATTTCCAGGCAAAGTCCAACTTGATTCAGAAAAATCAGATTAAGTATGTATATTTTTATTTTATTTCAAGTTTAACTAATATATCGCGTTTTAAACCGTTACAGTGTTTTATTTAAATGTGTAATACTCGCTTAAACTATAGACAGTATTTAATACTAAAGTTTTCAAATGATTTAAACCTTATTTTAAAAAAAGCACTGTTTGTGCCGGCCGACTCACACTTGGCCAATTTTAAATTACACAATGAGTAACTTCTTTAACACTTAACTATTGTCATATGTTATAGTATTACAAAGGGTTATAAAAACAATATTTATGTTGTATTCAGAGCCGTGTTCAAATAAATTATTATAGTTTATATTTAAATAATTAAACATCGTGGGTTCGCCATGGGGACAGGGGAGGAGAAACAAGCACGGGGTTCTCTTGATGGTATCTGAAAATACCCGAGCGTTTTAACAACGAAACGAGGTGCGCTGTCGCCCTATTTCGGTCTATTATTCCACCGAATCTAATATGTTTGTATTGAATTTATATTTATTTTGAATCATGTTGGACTTCGACTGGATATTTGGACATTAAACAGGTGGTAGGAATGTTGAAATTCCCTCCACAGATGAGGAAGCCCTTGAAGTTTAATCGCGTTTCAGTCTGTCGATTTCCGAATATCCAAAGCTAAAATAGATCAACAACGCATCTTGTATGGGGTATAGCATCTTCCATTAAGTGAACGTCACACTTGTTCGTTAACTATTTCAGTACTTTTAACGGTATAGAACGAGAAGTATATCATTTGGGGGGGGGGGGTGTTGTCTTGCATATCTATTGACTTCGTGGGTTTGGATAATACTTACGTCACAAGAAAGATAATTACATTTCAATTCTCCATTTGTTGATTTTATACTTAAAATAATAAAAAAATACTCACACACACATTTTTTACTTAAAAACATAAGAAAAATACTCACACACACATTTTTTACTTAGAAAAATATTCACACACATATGTTTTACTTAGAACGATAAGAAAAATATTCACACACACATGCTTTACTTAGAACGATAAGAAAAATATTCACACACACATGTTTTACTTAGAACAATAAGAAAAATACTCACTCCTCGTAGCCCCCGCGACCACGACGATGACAATCGTCAACATGTTGAAAGCAGTGAAAATGTTGTTTAGTTTGGTTGATTCGCGCACACCGACACCCAGCAATACTGAAAATATAATTGTGAAATTAACATACTGTAAAAAAAAACGCAGACGTACACGTTTAGAATGCTGTATAGTAGCCACGGGGGGAGTAGTATGTTTTGCGATTTAAACGGTTAATTAAACGACAGTGGTCGCGGGGGGGGGTTAATTCATATACTGTATTTAGTTTACGCTAGTAGTACACATTAAAAAAAAACACTTTTACGGTTTAAAACGCGATATATTTAAGTTAAATTTGTTAAAAAAATATTTTTAACTAAAATACGATTTAAACCGTTAACTGTGTTCTTTATAATCTATAGATAATTCTTACCAATCGTAGGAAATATTACGTCCATATTTACAAAGAACTTTTAACGGTTTCAAATGCGAAAAAGGCCGTAGTTAAAATAACAGTAACTACTGGTTCGAATTATAAAATGGATAGGTGACAGCTATAATTTATAAAGAAGAGAAGAAGGTTTGCATAAACAAACTTTGACCCCCAAAATAACTGTTCTACGCGGACGAAGCTGCCACAGCTAGCAAACAATATTTAAATAAAACACTTTAACGGTTTAAAATGCGACATATTAGTTAAACCGTGGTCGCGCCCCCCAAAAAGTACCCAAAGGGTCGGCCCGAAGTTAAACAATTTTCAAATAAGTTTAACTAATATATCGCGTTTTGAACCGTTAAAGTATTTTATTTGGATGTGTACTACTCGCGTAAACTATAGACAGTATTTAAACAATATTTGTATTTGTAAGATACACAGACACAGATTTATGTCGCTTTTAACAGTATACATACAATACTCACTTGTCATAACTAAGACCAGGCCAAACGCGAAGAAGTCAGGGTACTCCGCGAGGAAGGAAACGTTGATAGGGGCGACTTGCAGCATCCTAGCCGACATGCTGTTGTTGCAGAGGCTGTCGATGTAGTTGGACATGCCCTTCGCCATGCTGGCTGTGCCAATCACGTACTCCAGGATGAGGTTCCACCCGATGGTGAAGGCGACGAACTCCCCAACACTGACGTAACTGTAGACGTAAGCTGAACCCGCCTTTGGGACGCGCGCTGCGAACTCCGCGTAGCAGAGACCTGGAGGCAGAAGACCGTTTATTATTTTTATTTTTCACATGTTATTGCACATGATGGCACTATTGAAATAAAATACTAGCGGTTTAAAACGCGATATATATTAGTTAAACTTGTGTTAACAACAGCTCGTTAAACTATTTTGCAAATAAATGTAATTAAATGAAATCGCGTTTTAAACCGTTAAAGTGTTTTAAACTTACAAACATCTACTTGCGTAAACTAAATCAAAAAACGATTTTATTTTTTTGATAAACCGGGCAGTCCTCTAAACGAATTGAGTTACCATGTCCATTGTAGTAAATTGGTTAGAGCAACAGCACAGAACGATGTAGACGCCGGTTTAAGTCCTGCCCGCGTCGTACATTTTTTCGAATTAATAATGAATTTTAATTTATAGATACTAATAGCTTTAACGCTATAACGGTTGAAACTTTAAATCTTTTTCTGATGGCATTATGTAAATTCCAAGAAATAGAATAGTTAGTTTCAGTGTAATGTAGTAATAAAAAAAATTAAAAAAAAGATCCGAGACTGAGTCTTTTAAGATTACACTCGTATAAATGGATAGGAGGTTTGACCGACGAATCGAATGCGCGAATAGCTATTATTTACGCGGAAAGATGAGGAGGTTTGCTAAAAGATGTGTATGAAATTAAAACCTTTTCCCAATAGGGTTGAAGGTCGAAACGAACCGGTCGATCAAGGATCCTTTACCCGCATTTGCATTCGTAAAATGTGGAATCAAAACGCATAAAATTATATTTTAAGCAATGTCGTCAGAGCGCCTTATTAAACCGGTTAGAAAGCGGTTTTTATCGCTATAAGAATGTTATGATTCGCGTAAACAAAACAGGATACAAGTTCATCTATGGCTATAACAGTTATCCATACTAATATTATAAAGCTGACGAGTTTGTTTGTTTGAACGCGCTAATCTCTTGAAATTTTTTTTGTCTTGGTTAGATCATTTATCGAGGAAGGCTTCTTTGAGGGCTACAGTTGCGTGCGGTGCAAAGATGGTTTAGGAAACCAAAAGTGTACTGTGTATACTTTACGCGAGTAGTACACATTTAAATAAAACACTTTAACGGTTCAAAACGCGATATTTTAATTAAACTTATTTGAAGATGATTTTTATCTTCGGCCCGACGTTTCGGATGCTTTGCAGCAACCGTGGTCAGGGGAGACCCGTTTTAAACCGTTTAAGTGTTTTATTTCAACCAAAAGATATGAATAAAACATTTTCACGGTTTAAAACGCGATATATTAGTTAAACTTATTTGAAAATGTTTTTTTTTTTAAATGATTTTTAACTTCGGCCCGACGTTTCGGCTGCTGCCACGAAAAGAAATCATTTTCAAGGAAGTTTAACTAATATATCGCGTTTTAAACCGTTAAAGTGTTTTATTTAAATGTGTACTACTCGCGTGAACTATAGACAATATTCAAAAGATATGATTAAATTTCTCTTTAAATCATCCGCGACAGTATATGTCTATCTTTTAAGATTACCTCACAAGAACCGTTGTTATGGTAATAAAATTTCGTCGTTTGCCATCTAGTTTAACAGTAGTTTACTTTTAACTGTTTTAAATGTGTACTCGCGGAAACAATAGACAAGGATTCTTTTCTTTTTAATTTTTTTTGGAAATCTGAATATAAAATGGGTGTCAGAAATATCGTAATTCCGTCACGCTAACCAACGTCCACAGATGAAAAAGCCACGTAGTTTAATCAAGCTTTGGTTTCAGTCTGTGGATTTCCTAATACCCAAAGCCAAGATAGGTCAACAGTGCATCTTGTTTAGATGTTATATATTAGCTAAAAAACATTGTTTAAGTATTTGGTATTCGGCCGATAAAAGACGCCGAATAGGCCGAATACCGAACAGCAACCGATCATTCGTTGCAAGTCTACTTATAATCATCACGAGAGGTCACGTGCTGCGCACGTGCTACCATCTATCGTGATAAAAGTCAAACGAACCGACCTTGGTCCAACACTGCTCTATTTTGAATAACTCGATATAAAGCACTCGCACGCAATTTATTATTCATAGCCGATACACGTTCTTGGTTTACAATTAATCTTATTTAAATGAGATCCAATTTTTATTTATTCCAACACACGACAGACAAGGTTTGATGAAAGGGGGGGTATCCCAGCCATATATCCCCACCATGCAGTGGGGCAATGCAGCCGATATTCAAACCATATTTGTTTTACAGAAACGGGCTATTCGATCAATTTGTGGTCTTTCCCCACGAGAGTCTGTTCGGAATAAGTTTAAAGCATTGAATATCCTAACGCTGGCAAGACAATATATCTATGAAAACGTGTACGTGAGAAAAAACGTAGATACTTTTAAAACAAACGGCAGCTTTCATCAGTACAATACGCGTAATAAGGACAAAATAAGTGTACCAAACAAAAGGCTCCATAAAAGTAGTAATTCTTTTCAGGGCATACGATACTTTAATAAAATCCCCAGCGAAGTGCAAGCACTCTCAATAAATAGGTTTAAATCGTATGTAAAAAAACTGCTTGAAAAGGGTTATTATCACGTGAATCAATATTTAAATGATAAAAATGCTTGGGGTGTGGAGGAACCCGCTCTTACAAGGAAAAATATGTAGTGCACTAAAAGTAAATCAAGAATGTAAAATGAAACTTGGCGATAAAAGGAGTGACGGCGAGTTTATTGCCAGTTCTTCTCGTTCGTTCTACGCCCTTGATTTGAGAACTGGTAGTAAATGTAAAGTTAGATTCTTTAATTATTTTGTGACGTCCATAAGTGTACATGAATAAATGATTTTGACTTTTGACTTTTATAGCATCTAAACAAATGGCACTGTCGACCTATATTGGCTTTGGATACTCGAAAATCCAGAGGCCGAAACGCGAATAAACTTCACAGCTTTTTTAATCTGTGGACGATCCGTTAACGGGGGAATATTTTTAATCCTAGCCTTTGTCCAGATTTAGACGGCGACATGTTTAATTAAAATAATAATGTTAAAATACCACAATTTAACGGATTGAAACGGGAATTATTTTAGTCAAGTTATTTTAAATGTAATTTAACTGCACACGACGTTACGGATGCTTTGCCTTTGGTCACGATCGAGGACACAGACAACATTTAAAACAAAATTATCTAGAAACATATTTTAGTTTATTAACATCTTATACAATTTTACAATCCTTATTAAGGAGGACAAACATTGGATTCAATCGTAGAACAATGAAACACCCCAGCCACACAACATCTAAACCAGATGCGTTGTCCAGATTCACAGGCCTATTTCGTTTCTAGATTTTACTTACCAGCAAACGCCGAAGCTATAGCGGCGACAAGGAAGCTCAAAGTGACGGCTGGACCGGCTACTGTCTTCGCAACAGCGCCAGCCAGCACGTATACTCCAAGACCCAGGGTGCTGCCCACGCCCAACGCGGTGAGGTCAAAGAGACCAAGGCATCGGGACAGCTGGGTGGTACTGTCACCTTCTTCCAGCTGCTTGCATCGACGGAGCGCGGCGAAGATTCTTCCAAAACCCATCTGAAATTTTACGGCATTATCAAATACTGTTAACACAACTGACCGCCTATGTAGCTTTATTGATATGGACTTATTTAAATAAAACACTTTAACGGTTTAAAACGCGATATACATTAGTAAACTTATTCGATAATTGTTTTAAATATGGCCCGACGTTTCGGATGCTCTGCAATAGCTGTGGTCATGGGGAGACTAAAAGATGGACCTCATGACCACAGCTGCTGCTAAGCATCTGAAACGTGCAGCAACTGTGCAGCCGTTGCAGCAGCCGTGGTCACGGGGAGACTAAAGATATACCCCATGACCAGGACTTCTCAAATAAGTTTAACTATCGCGTTTTAAACCCTTACAAGGTTTCATTTAAATTATAAATCGTACGAAAACATGTTGAATTCGTTGGGTATCAAACGCGTGACCCGATTAGCCACAATTTCCTACCATTACACAAGCGAGTCCATAAAAAACTTATTTTTTTTTTTAATTCCGGCTGTTATTTAAGAAAAATTGCGGAGACGATCGAACCCGGGACCTTCTGCGTGTCGAGTTCCAGACCGACGAGGCAGTTAATATAGATTAGCAAAAAACACGGATGTTGATTAGTAAAGATATAAACTTTTAAATAAAACACTTTTACGGTTGTTTAAAACGCGATGTATTAGTTAAGTGTACTTATGCACGCGAGTTGAAAATGATTTATTAACGTCGGCCTTATCGGTCTAAACGTGACCACGGCTGCTTAGCAAAGCATCCGAAACGTCGGGACCGAAGTTAAAAATAATTTTTCAAACAACTTTAACTACAAATATCGCGTTTTAAACCGTTAAAGTGTTTTATTTAAATGATGTACTACTCGCGTAAACTATAGACATGTATTTAAAGATATAAACTTTTTGTCTTAGATAATTGTTTAAAATAAAAATTGTGACATTGATTTATATTAAGCGATGTCTGTAGTTACGTACGTGTACATTGTGTACGCGAGTAGTACAATTTATTAATGCAGTTTTAACGGTTTAAAACGTGAACTGTACTTTAGAAAAACACCCAAAACGTGGACCTAGTTAAAATTAATAATAAATTACTTTAATACAGTTCGCGTTTTAAACCGTTAAAAGTGTTACATTTTAAATGATTTAAATTGTCTGACTCTGGAAATGGATTGGATAACCATTTTGTCCAGGTCAGGAACAACCCAACAGATAAAAAAGCCGTGAAGTTAATTCTCGTTCGGTTTCAGTTTGTGGATTTCCGAATATCCAAATCTGAAATAGTTCGGCAGTGTATCTTCTTGAGACGTTTTTTATCATAAAGGAGGGCAAACAAGCATGGTGTTTACTTGATAGGAGGTAAAATATCCCAGCCATATAACATCTATACAAGATGCGCGGTCGGCCTATTTTGGCTTTGGACATTCGGTTAGGGGTTTACCATCAAGACAATCCCAAGCATGTCTGTTCTCCTCTATCATAAAAAAAAGATTAGAAATATGTTTTTTTTCGGTTAAGATCTGACCATCTTTTCTAATTTTTAAATAAAACACTTTAACGGATTAAAACGCGACATATTTGTTAAACACCCGTGACCACGGCTGTTTAACTAATATATCGCGTTTTAAACCGTTACAGTGTTTTATTTAAAAGTGTACTACTCGCGTAAGCTATAGACAGTATTTTCATTTTTTTCTAATACTTTCTATTTTGTTTAAGAATATACATTTTAATAAAACCAAATGTCATTCAAACCGAATAATAACGCAAATTCATTTGTCAAATTACCTCGCTTCGGCTTATATTTTTATCGCGTTCCGACATTATTGTTTTATTGCTCGCTTAGATTTAAGGAAATGATATGAGATTTAAGTAATCTTTACGATGTCAAATCCGACTGTCTCCATAGCTAGACAGTTAAACGTGTTGCCTAACATTCCTAGTGTACATTCAAATCCTAAGACATAGAAGTCTGATCAACTTGTTTGTAAAAAGTTATCGCTAGAACCAGCCCGTTTCTTAATAAAACACGATTAACTGTTTAAACTGCGAAATATATCAGTTGAACTTATGTTTCATTTATTTTATTTGTGACCCGACGGTAAGTTAAAGTACGTGAAGACTGAAAAATGAAACTTGGAGATAAAAGGAGTGACGGCGAGTTTATTGCCAGTTCTACTCGGTTTTTCTACGCCCTTGATTTGATACCTGGTAGTAAATGTAAAGTTAGGTTCTTCAGTTTTGTGACGTTTATATGAACAAGCTCACAGTTGACGAACAAATGATACGTCGTCTGGAAATACCCCCCCCCCCCCCCCCTTTTCCCCTATAAACGAAAAGAAATGAAATTTAAACGAAATTCAATTCGAACATTTTTAACAGTTTAAAATGTGTTAATTACAGTTTATCTTAACTATGTGGGTGTACATGATTTTTAAAAACCGAAACGCGATTAAACTTCACGTTCGCGTGGAATAGTGACTTGGGGTAGAATTTTTAATTATTTATTCTATGTTGTAAGTTCTACTTTGCCGCAACACTCTCACCTCACATCACTCCTACTCTAACTCCCACTCGCACTCCCACTCCCACTCCTATTCCCAAATAGCAAAAAGAAGAAAGTTTAATTGTTCTAGCTTCAAAAACCACAAATTTCCGTATAAACTTTCACCCCCCCTTTTAACCCCTTACAACTGCCTTTTCGCAATAAAAGTCTATGTCCTTTCTCAGGGTCTAGACCATCTGTGTACCAAATTTCATTCGAATCCGTTCAGTAGTTTTTGCGTGAAAGAGTAACGGACAGACAGACAGAGTTACTTTCGCATTTATAATATTAGTAAGAATATGGGACAAACGTATCGTGTGTACAAAATGTACTCCCCTTATTGTACTGGACTTGTCGGAAAACACCTTGACCGTCATGCCTGGTTGCGAACAAATGAATTAAACATTTTGGCAAAGCAGAATAGACAAGGACCGTACAAAAAATATACCAATTACAGTTCGAAATTACTCAGTGTAATGAGGTTGTTAAATAATTAAAATAAATATTTCAATGGTTTAAAATGCAAAATGTATTAGTTATAATAACCGAAACGTCGGGTCGTATTTAAAATTGGTGAACGCGAATAACCCCAGCCGTATAATATCTGTATGTTGGCTTTTAATGACGTCATAATATAAATGTAGCAATGCCATTGACGGTTGACGACACATCCGCTAACAGATGTTTCAAGGTTTTTTATGCCACGTTCAATTTGCGCACCCTGCCTATTTCTTTGCCTTTTATAAAAAAGGAGGACAGTCCACTTGATGGTAGCCACATAACATCTATTAAAGTGCCCTGTCGACCTATTTTGGCTTTGGACATTCGGAAATATTAAGCCGTAATGTGCTTAAACTTTTGGGTCCTTTCATCTGTGGGTGGTTCGATTATCCAACCATCCATTTAATATCTCGATCTCCAGACAAAGTCCAATATGTTTCATAAACATTACTAATTTATTAAAATCATGTAGACTTTTGGGAACCGAACCCACGGCCCCTTTCGTGTGCTCTGGGCCCTACTTTACTTTACCATTAGACCAACGAGACCCAAAAAGCCTCTCGTCGTGGAGGTCGTGAATTGATATCAAAAAACACGATGTAGTAATCTGTTTAATATATTGTAATTAATATTTTTCCTATTCCAAAAACAATTCTTTACAAATAAAACACCTTTATAATTTTAAAACGTGATATACGCTACGATTTATCGGAGGCTTTGTAACCGCCGTCGTCACGGGGGGTGGGGGCTAAAGATGGAGGGCGTCCTTAATGTCAAATCTACGCTAGCGTCATCTGTTTCACCAGAATGAGTATTTGGAAATATCAAAAACGTCGGGTCAGATAAGTTATATGTTTGCGTAAGCTTGACTTAATTAATCCTTCGGACCGTAGACGAAATAAATAAAAAATAAGTCAACTATTATATAATGCATTTTAAACCGTTAAAACTAATTTACTTATAATTATGAACAAATCGCGTATCACTGCAGACAATACGTAATGCATCGGGTCGTAGATAATTATGAATAAGTTAACTACTAAATATCGTGGTTAAAACCGTCAAATCCGTTCTATGTATCTATATTTATATGTGTGTTTTATCAATCGCGTATAAAATAACTACAGACTTAATGAATTTTAATTTAAAATTGTAATTTTATCTAGTTTCGATTCTTTATAAGCACCTGCGCATGCGCATGTATTAATAAATAAAATGTTTTTGCACTCACAGTTCACAGCCAACGGAAAATATGAAATTCACGGAGTGATATGACAGAAATCAGTGATACAGCGGTGCTAAAATCCATTCTCTTTCGTTTAGTTGTTTGCCAAAGACGCTTATCTTTACTGCTGTAGCTGTATCTTTTAGCTCTGCAAATTAAGATAATGACTGGCAGATACACCTGCATTTTTTTCCTTCATATCAATGATAAACAAGTAAGGTTATAAATAACAATGTCTGTAGTTTACGCTAGTAGATTCAATAAAACACTTTAACGGTTTAAAACGTAAAGCATCCGAAACATCGGGCTCTAGTTAAAATAACTATATAAATAAGTTTGAATAATATATATTTTTTGTGTTTATGATGGATGGTAAAACCCCACCCGTATTACATTTTAACGAGATGATGATTATAACCTTTTAAATAAAACACGTTTAACGGTTGAAAACGGGAAATTGATTAGTCGACTCATTTACAATTTACTTTGGATGCTGTGCAGCAGCCGTGGCCACGTGACCACGTCGTGCCGACACGTCGGGCCATAGTTAAAATAATTTGTAAATAGGGTTATATAAGTCATGTTTGAAACCGTTTAAAGTGTTCATATAAAAACGCCTTTATGTTCATTCCCATGGGCTTATCTTTACTTTAAATAAAGATAGCTTTAAGTTGTACCTACTTAAGTTTTGATTTTGTGTTTTGTTTATCTTTGATAGGCCGCGTGCCGATAAGTTGACATA